GGTCTAAGAAATCCCTTGGAAATAGGACATCCTTTTTTAGAGTATAATATTACGGAGTACTGTATAATTGACTAAAACATGGGCCTACCAAACTGTCCAAACTTTTTTGAAATTGGTCCGATTCCTTATTGTTAAGGGCTCACCCCTCCCTATAATTTTTCTTTAATAATACTTGGAATACACCAAATTGTATCATAAGGTTCCATATTTGGGAACAATTATGTGTACCCCAAACATTTTTGAAGCCTTTTAAATTGGAAAACCTCACTTGGTGTACACCAAAACAGAAATGGACACACACAGTACAGATACTCAATATTTGTGTACACCCCAAGTAAAGTTTTCCAAGCACCTCTCATAAAATTAATGTTTTGAAGAAAAATGATACGTGCTCCGTTGTACAACTTCTACATACCAAGAAAACAAAGACAGACTATTGGATCCAAATTGGTCGTCGCTAGAACTACTATACATAGTTAAACACTTTAAAGCACGATTATTCATTCTCAGTGACAATCGAAAGTATAGCATCAACCATAAACAAACCAGTTATGGTTCGTGTCTCTCTTGCGGTTAGTGTGAGTTTACATCGGATGATGGATATGCATATATCACATTACTTCATAGTGATCTACGAGAGGAAGTTTACATGAAGTTGCTCTCGTGTTTTTCTATGATTGTCATATAGACAAGTCTCTTTACGGACTAGAACACGCTCTTCATCGGTGTCGGTTTTGTTGGAATTTTTGGCATTTTTAATAGGCATTAAATGGACCAACTTGGGTATAGTTATCAATAGGTCCACTAACGGTTTTAACCGTTAATTAATGGACGTGTGTTCTCTTAAATGAGATAAATATTTTGATAATTTATACGCCAAAAAATGGTAGAGGGTGAATGAGAAATTGATTCTTAGAGTTAACCCGTTAATAAAAGAATATGGTAAGGATTGCAATTTTTGCAATTTTACTAAACCAATCTTCTTTTATTAATTTTACGTATTATATTGTTTAAAATTAGTCCATTCTTACGGAGTTAACTGGCCATTAATCTCCAATTATTCGGGACAAATTTTAAACGGAGCGTAGCGTAACGGACGTGTTAATGGCTAATTAATCACCATTAACACGGTATTAAGTGTGCCACAAATGTCATGGATTAATGGTGTAGGAGTTACATTTTTTAATTGGCTTGGTTATAAAATCAAAGGCTCTCTCCATTCTCTTGTGTGGTGGTTGTTTCATACGTGAGGAAGGAAAAAGAAAGGAAAAGTACTTCCTTGTTTTTATAGAGAGAGCTCTTGATTTTCCGGCCAACTTTCCGGCAAAAATTCAGAATTTTATTTAATTTTATTTTCCAGGTCCGTTCGTCTTCCCTATCCGTTGTAATCCGTACAAAAATTGTAACAGGTTTTGCGAACTTTTTTGGGTTAGGTCAAATCAAGTTGTCCTAAAGATAAGGAACCTTTGTGCATAAAACTATCTCTGCACCACGACCTTGATACAAACTTACGAAGTACTTTTTTTTTTTCTTCTTCCAATTAACGGTTCAAAAGCCAACACATAGTTGGAATATGAACATAGGCACAAAGTAGGCAGACTATGGATTGTGAGGCTATGAAAATGACAATCTGTGTACGGAACATTTGAAATGAATGAATATAATGCATTTCAATGATTATGGGTTGTTTTACACAAGTGAAATGTGGGGTTAATAGGTGGGACAAAAAGGGGGAGATGCACTTGTTGTTATGTGTGATATGTATGCAAGAGGATAAAGTGTTACTCGTATATATTTTAGTGTAGTTGAAATAACTATTTGACCAATGATATCATAATAATCATCAATGAAGTTTGGTGCTGCGAATTGCACGCTTTGTTGAGTTTGTTAAGATAAAAGTGTTGTTTTAACGAGAGACTGCCCTCTTGACAGGGAGTCGAGGGCAGCGCTCCCAAGCAGGGTTCAAGGGGCTGCCGCCCTTGCAGGGTCCAAGGAGCAGAGCCCCTAAGTGGGGTCGAGATGCTATTTCGGAATTTGGGTATAAAGAATTTCTGAAAAATGCCTCTACTAATTTTCGAGAACCTAGACTCGATCTACCGCATCTTCTTCCCTCTCTCCGCTTCTATAATTAAGAATCCGGCAAAGGCATGGACAAAAATTAAAGAGTTCGAAAGCTCATCACAACATATACTTGTTCTTGATCAATAATTAACTCCAAGAGTCTTAAGATATGAAAGGAAGTACAGTGGAAGTTTGGTTGCAGAGAATCATAGTTAAGCTAAGTGAAAGGCTCCAAAGCATATCCTTCAAGCTTGGGAGCCCATTTGCCATTGGAAAAAAAGTAGTGATAGGCATTAAAAGAAAGTGAATCTTATTGGGGAGTTGCGTGGACATTTTTTATACATATGTTGATCGAGTACCTCATTCATTTCAATTGAATTTATGACTTGGTTTTAGAGTTTTTTTTTTGCATCATTTATTTTCGAGCTCTTCAAAAATTACAAAATTCATCTCGAACATAAAAAATGCACGGTTCTTGAAATTTAAAACAATGTTGCATCAATGATTCCTTTACACCAGATTTGAGAGCGCGTTAATCACACATTCGTCAATATACTTTTTGGATTTTGATGAAGAGTTCAATTGATTGATGCACAGGCTTCAAATTCGATTATCGACGGCTAAAGTAAAAATAATTATCCGGACTTTCAAGAAGTTTAAAATATAAAGAATAATATTTGGTTAAATATATGACAGAACTTAGGCGTAATATACGAGTTTAAGTAAATGTACACAGTTGAACTTGGGCGTGTGATTAACGTACTCTCAAGTCTGGCGCGGAGAGATATTAATGCAACTTGGGCGTGTGATTAACGTACTCTCAAGTCTGGCGCGGAGAGATATTAATGCAACCTTTTTGAAAATTCAAGGACTATTGGTTTTATTTTTAAAGTTAAAAGGGAAATCAGTGCAATTTATGAAGAATTCAGAGATAAATGGCTAAAAAACTCTTTGATTTCATGAGCTTCGCCTTAGTTTGAGTGATCAGATAACTACTCATAAAAACTCTAAATAAGAATCTCACCCAAGTTTGATATTCAACGGGGACATTGAATCTCTATATTTCGGTAGATTGAGAAAGTATACACGAAATAAATGCTAGATTTCCAATTGAATGAAAAAGTCACATTTTTGGGTAAATTTCCAATTGAATAAAAAACTCGCCAAATTTTGACCAAAATTTCATTATTATTGCATGTAGAAACGGTAAGATTTTTAACAATGAAAAGTTTGTACGTAGAGAGTAAGTAACATTGTTTAGAAATTTTGATTTCGAACCCCTAAAGATAACGTCACGCCACTTCAATCGATTTTTCAAACGCATTATAAACCACAAAATTTGTCGTAAATGTTCTTTGTTTCATGTAGAAACATTCCATACACATGTATCACAACGCTTTTCGGCCAATTTTAAAGGAAAAAATGGATGAAATTTGGATTAAGCGTTCCTTTTGAATTCAACGACCTAGAAGAACCGCCCGGTTTTTAGACAATTTTTAAAGAGGAAATGAAAATGTCAAATTTTTGTTTGAGCGTACATTTTTTATTGCGGAGTATAAAAATATGTGGTAAAATTTTCAAACCAAATGGCTCTTTTATACGGAGTATATCGCAAAATTGAATTTTGAGTTTTGGCTGTGGGCTTTTTGGGCCATTTATTCAAATGGACCAAAAATTGACAAAAGTTTACTTGAATAAAAAGTTTCCGTCCCATTTTATAATGCCTGTTTCGGTTTACGATGTTTGACTGAAGTTATTCTCAAATCATTTTATATGACAAATGGTATAGAATTAAAACATAAAAATTACATATCAAAATAATACATCAAAAGATCTACAAAATTAGTAGTGACAATAATATTTTATTTTATCAAATTGCTAACGAAAATAGAGAATGAAAGTGAATAAAGTTTGACCATGTGAATAGTTAACATGCATTATAATTTGAGACGGAGGGAGTATTTTCTAGGCCAATTGGATGTATAAAATAGAGATTTGGTATTGGTCTTATGAAGGAGAATGAGACCTGTTTTTTGTACATTAAAATTTCAGAGTTGGCTATTAGAGAAAATTGGAAGGAGTTAGAAGAAAATGGAAAATATTGTAAAAAAACATGAAGTCTTTCCATCATCTCCAATGGAGCCAAATTTCATCATTTTTTGGCTTTGGGGTGTGATATCTAAACTGTCTGCGCTTCTTTAATTAATAAAATAGCAGTTAGTCAAGCAATGCAACTTTCGACGTTGAGTCGGGGGTCTCTTTGGAAACAGCCTCTCTACTTTCGAGTAGGGGTGAGGTCTGCGTACACACACCCTCCCCAGACTCTAATCTTGTGGGATTTAACTGGGTTGTTGTTGTTGTTGTAAAAACAGGAAGGAATTGAAATATATTGAAAGAATTGAAGTGTTTAAAAAACACTTCGTTAAAAGATCATCCAAATTAATAGGTAGATTAAAAAGAATATATCTTTATCCATATTTGAGATAGTATGTTATGAATTTGGATATATAATATTTTGTATATTCATCATATACAAATATTGTTTAAGTCATTGGAAGAAGCTTGGAAGGAATTGAAAAAAAGTGGGAAGATTATTATTTTTATCTCAAAAGAACAAGACCTTAAGTGTGAGCAGAAGAAATAAGTTGCAAAAACTAAGAGTTGGAAAATATTCAAAAAAAAAATTAAAGTGTTCAAAGTCACTTGATTAAAAGATCATCCAAATAAATATATAAGAAAATTTGGATAAAAAAGAATTTATCCTTATCCATATTTGAAATAGTATGTTATAAATTTGGATATATAATATTTTGTATATTCATCATATATAAATATTTTTTAAGTTGTTGAAGAAGTTTGAAGGAGTTCAAAAAAAGTTTGAAGATTACGGAGTATATTTTTAACCCAAAAGAAAAAGGACCTAAGTGTGAACAGAAGAAAGATCAACCATTTGACTCTCGAGAATCAACTCATTTTGAAACAGAAACCGCTGATTCTGAGAACTACAAGTCATACAACTAACAATGAACAAAACCCAGAATAAAATATACAAATGAAATGACCACATCCAAACAGACCATGAAGATATTCCCCAAATCCCCAAAGAATCATCCAGCTAAAGAAACAATGAAGGTTTCGAATCAAGAACTCCAAGAAACTGTACAAAAGAAACACGAAAGCAGCCATACCGGAGGAGAAGGCATTCTTCTTGATCAGACTTTATGAGTGGAAGTGGCAGCTGCTGCGGATTTACAGACCGGGCAGGCGTTCTTGTGCTGGAGCCACTGCTTTATGCAATGAATGTGGTACAAATGGCCGCACTCTAGCTTCCCCATCTCATCTCCGCTTTCGTATTCCTCCTAGCAGAGCCGTACAACGGAAGGGCAATTTCGTCAGCGAAATGTGAAAATTGGAATTCTTAGAACTAAATGCAACAACCCAGACAAATCCCACAAAGGGTTTGCGCATGGGCAGACCTTACCCCTACTTGAAAGTAGAGAGGCTGTTTGGAAGAAGAGACCCTTTTTAGAGCATATTGTAAAGATGTGAAAATTGTAGGATGCAACCTGACAAATGCTACACTTTCTTTCTGTTTCGGTTGAGAAATGTGACGGGAATTTGGGCTTCGTTTTGCTGACGTGGCGATCTATGACGTCCTCTCTCAATCCGGTGCTCACATGTCCAATTCTATCCCCAAGTTCTAGCAGATCCTGTTTCACAATGTTAGTTCATACAAGCTGTTTTCGCTGAAAATAATACACGAGAATCAAATGGTAGAGCTTGTTTTGGAGCTCATAACTTAGTTTAAGCTTTCAATAAGCTCCTTCTTTGTGAACTACATGTTGTGAGCCAAGGGAACCCTAAAACAATTAAAGGGCATTGCAAATGGACATGTACCTCGTAGGACATGTCATCCACATCAAGTCTCCAATCTCGGTATCGATCATGCCCTTCTAGCCCTCCTCCCATTAGAGTACTTTGCATCATTAACACCTAAAACCAGTAATTATATTCCAGGTAAATGAGCTAATGTTGACTTGTTCATCCCACATCGGCAATGCAGCCTAATATTGTGCTGCTATTTAATAGCTTGGGTACCTCAACCTCTTGAGTTAACTTTTGGGGTTGAATTGGGCCCAAGTCTATTATTTCAACAGCTAATCAAAGAAGATCTTGCTTTTCTGAATATACTTCAACTAGTCGTTTGGGCATACAAATGAAAAGGAAGAAGCCAACGACAAAATAGTTTGGGACTTTGGGCATGCAAAAACAGTGATTTTAAATGGTCATCCAATGTAAGAACATAGCAATGCTTCCAAAACCAAATCTATAAACGAACCTCTGAGAACCCTTCGGTAAAACCACATGGAGAATAGCGGTGATGCCTAGATCCAAAAATGCCTGTTCTGGACCTTGGCAGTTCAAAAGTAGGGTATGGATCATCTTCAGGGATCACCATTCTCCTCAGAGAACATGCCGATCTCTGTCATCATCAATCAAAGAAACAAGAATAAGAATTGCGTGCCGAAGTACAACAGCAATAATAAGTAACAATAAATCCCTAATTGGAAGTAAAGAGGGTGGTTTCAAGACTTCTGGCTCAAACACAGAAGCACATGCAAAGTAATCACTAATCAGAGTAGCACAAGAGCACATAACAAGAAGCACATATACTGACACAACTCTAAGCCAGAGTAGACTACAATAATCAATACTTCCATGAATGCGAGGATAGTATCTCTTTATTACTAACAAAAAAGTAGTCCTAAAAAACAATAGAGGTTTCATATCAACAACAACAACAATAAACTCATTAAAACCTTACAAAAAGTAGGGTCTTAGGGGTGCTTGTATGCAGACCTTACCCATTAGGTATAAACCTGTCGTTTTGCAAAGGGTGTTGCAACGTCTTGAGATTTCAGATATTTAATGAAATTTCTAATATGTTGTTTCTTCTGTTTTGATCTGAGAGTCTCTTGAAAACAACATTTCTACAACCGAGTAACAAATAGGAGGACGGTCAGCGTGCTCACTCTCCCGCACCTTACTTTTTTTGTGGGGTTTTACGGGGCTTAATGTCATTATTCGAATGAAATTTCTTATGTGTGTGCTTAGTCATTAACACTATGTTTGGTTCAAGGAATTTGAAAGGAAAAGAAAAGGAAATGGTTTTCCCTCATTTTCCACACCAAAATAAGAGGAATTTGGTTTTCCCTCCTCTTAGTACATTTTGCCTTCTCCTTTTTTTTTCCTCTCTAACCAAACAAGATAAATGTTTTCTTTCTCATTTTCTTCTCCTTTCCCTCTCAAATTCATTGAACCAAACATAGTGTAAAAGGTCACATAGGAGTAATTTCAAAAGTTACATCTAAGTACATAAACCTAATGGAATTTATCTTGAATTTTTATAGCTTCTCCCATGAGCTAAGAAATCCACCATCTACAAACATAAAGAAAGCTTGAATCCTCAATTAAACCAAAGAAATATGTCAATGAAACTCAAAAGATACCTCTCGGGGTCGGACAGTATCATCATCCACCTTCCTCCTCCCCAAAGCAGGCCTTCTAGAAGTAACAAAACCCACAGCCGCTGGAGGATTTCCGGGGACACTGACCTTGCCACCGCCAGCTCCTCCGCCAGCGGCGGAGACAGAATAAAGCTTGCACCTTTGCTTCTTTTTCTTCACTCTCTTGGAGTCCCAATCAGCAGACGACCTAATTACAGCAGGCACCGACACCTGAGAAGAGGCGGCGCAGCCCAGTCTTCTGAAACTAGTAAAGTTCTTCTTTTTAGGGGTGGCGGCGGTGGTAGGGTCCGTGGTGGCGACGGCGGGGGAAAATGGGGCAAGGAGCAGAGAGGAAATTGTGGGTTTTGGACGATTGGGGGAGATTAGAAGGGGATTTGGATCTATCTCCGGAATGGGTTTGGGGTGATTAAGGATCTTTGGTTTTCTGTATCTGCCATTGAGCTCTGTCGAGTCGCCGGAAACCACCGCAGACATGGTGGCTGTGCAGATGAGTGCAGGGGAGGGAGGAAATGAGAGTATTTGGTGAAGAGGGAGAGCGTGAAAGAATGAGTGCAAGGCTTTCTTTCCTCTTCTTTTTTTTCTTCGTTTTCGGCGGAAGAAGAAGAAGACTAGATGAACACTACCAACTTGGCAACTTCATTGAAAAGTTACGTCATTCTCAATCATGTTTTTTGATACTCTAGAGTATATTATGGCCCCGTTTGGCATCAGTCTAGATATTAGTGTTAGCGTTTTGAAAAGAATATCTAAGTATTTAGTATTTTCTAAATTAATCTCCGTCATTAATTTTTTATCCAAAACACTAACGCTAATTAAAAACACTCTTCCCAAACAAGGCTTATAAGTTTTTTATAAAAGAAATTGTTGAAATGCATGGAGCAAATGCTCAAATTAATCTCGGTGAGGACTGAGTTTAATCATACCACTCAAGCTAAGGAAAAGTTCGACGAAAAGATGTTTGATTTACCAAATTTTTGAAATTTATGTATTAAAATAAAGACTTTAATTTTTTTTAATGATTTCAGTATCTATTTAGACGCATATTCTTTGTAATTTTATATAGAGTATTTCATTTATGCAATTTAAAGACTTTAATTTTCTAATGATTTCAGTATCTAAGTTTAATTTTTCAAATTTTAGACTCCATTTAAAATTAAGGTGAAAAAAATCCTTCCTCTACTCTCAAGCTAGTTAATTCCTCTACTAAAATGAGCTAAAAGGGGGGTTTTTTGATTTTCTACTACTCTATATTAGAAATGGAGGGGAATAAATAAAGAAAAAAATCACTTCAAATTTCCATTGAGTTGTTGTTTTCTCTAAAATTAAGAAAAAAAAACTATGATTGTTGCGATTGCTATTGATATTAAAACTTAAGAAAAAGTAACCAAATTAAACATGAATGTAAACAACATAAATTTGAACAAATACGGAGCACGTTATAAGAAAAAAATTGTAAAATGAATAAAAAAGATAAATATGAACAAAAACAATGAGACGGATGAAGTATGTAAAAACAAAAAATAGTATGTAAAAATAATTTCTTTTTTCAATAAATATTAGTAATTTTATATGTATTTTTTTATTTTAAAAGAAATGTGTACTGTTTATTTCTTTAAATGTGAGAAAATGGTTTTAGTCTTAAGAAAAACAAAAGAGAATGGGCTCCATTAGTCTTTGTCCGAAAAGAGGGGCAGGTCTCTTCTGCATCTTTTCCTTTTTATCAACCAATAGCCTATAAGGACTTGTTAAAATCAATTTAAGAGTAGGAAGTAATCATCAAGCTTAATTAATTAATTAATACAATGTGTGACTAGTTTAGAAAAAAGAAAAAAAATCCCGAAGTTCTTAATAAAAATTCACAAAATGCCCAAAAATTATTATTTGTGAATTTAAATTTCAATTTTTAAATTATTTGATAATATTTTGTTATTTCAGTGAAGTGATAATATGCCACATTTGGAATTTTGTAGTTTTTTTGCACCTAGCATTTCTCATAATAATCAGTCCATTCTAAAGTTTGTTCAAGACCGAATCAACAACTATTTAGAATGTGTTAAATTTAATTATATGTAATTTTAACTTGAGAACTAAAGAATGAAATTTTCCTTCAATATATGCAATAATTTCACATTAGGCATGATTATTCTTTATAGTTGTTGCAAATAAGACATATACTATTTTGTATGATTAGTCTAGAGATTATACAAATTGAGGGGTGAATGATAAATAAAAGCAGATAATAAGAGTCCGTTTATATATGGGCTCAATTTTCAAAAGAAATAGTTCAGCAGACGCCAGCCTCTTCGGCCCATATGAAAACAGCTCATTATGGGCCTAGGCTGCTCAGAGTACTCAAATATTTGGGCTTAGAGACTGATCTGTTTCTAATTAAATTCATCATCGTCTTCTCCCCTAGAACCTCTTCCCTAGAACCCTAGAGCAATCTGGGGATCGAAAATGAAGCACTCAATCCTGAGATCCATCTCGCTCTGCTCTCGCAATCTTCGACCTTTCTTCCATACCAAGCAAACCCCCAAATCTAGCCGTTCAATTTTGCTGAACAATCGATTTTTCGCCAGCGGAAACCCTAACCCTAGTCGCCCAATTCCCGGGTCGAATCCGGAGCAGTTCGATAGTGTTGCTGTTCTAAACTCTGCTAAGGATTCTCAAGACCTCAGCAATGAAGGTTAGTTTTTCATATTATTACTCTGTAGTCTGTATATAGGAAAAAGAACCTTTTTTTTATTTATTACGGAGCTTTTCCCAATTATTGTACTTTGATCATCTACTAAATAGTATTTAAATTGTATACTAATGAAATAAAAATATTTCTTTGAAATTTTTTCACAAAATAAAATCTAATTAAATTATTATTTTTACTAATATGTAATGCAATTTATATTTAATTTAGGATCAAAGTTCGTCTAATATCACCTCAAGAAGCCAACAAGACAAACACAATTGGACGGAAATAGTATTTGTTGTGTATAGGATTGCACCTTTCATGTTTTTATGAAGATTTGGAGCTCATTTCGGACTAAACTCTAAATATCTTTTTGGTTGATTTTGTTCCGCCGTTTCAGAATTTTCTAGTGTTTGCCAAAAAAGGATCTTATGATCTGCGTTGCACCCAAACATGAAATGTGTGACACAAAGCATGTCCCACAAAACGTCTTGAAACGTTTCAATATTATATATGGAACTGCACCCAGACATTTCGAGTATCGTTTATGAGTCTCAAACCTCTAGAGTGTCTTTGCAGCATTGGTTTTGTGATTTGTGATAGTTTAGGGAGTAAGAACATGCCATTGTTATAGTTTATGGCAATGAGATTTTTTAGTGCCATATAGATGGACTCTACCGAAGTTCTTTGGTTAGAAAATAAATTGATACGGTCCCTACTTTTTTTGTGAGATTTTACTGGATTGTCGTTGCTGTTAGAACGGTGTGGGGATATAATTTGACTCTTGCAGCATTGAAGAAGAAGATTGAGAGGCTGGCTGAAGGGGATGGAGAGGCAATTCCCGAAATATTTGAGGCAATTTTGAAGAGGAAGTTGGGCGGCAAAAGTGCCGAGGAAGACGAGGAGCTGATGAAAGATATTCGGAGCAATCCCAAATTCGATCAGGATTTTGATGAAAGTTACTTGAATCACTCTAGTAAAGAAGGTGATAACCACGGCGACGACGATGACGATGATGATGAGTTTGATGATAGTGAAGATTTTGAAGAAGATGAAGAAGATGAATTAGACTGAGTGGAATTCTGGGGATTGGCTATGAATCCTTCTCAATTTTGCCATTCAAATCATTATATGTTATGGTAATTGTTGATTGACTATTTTAAGTACGGATTATAGTGGAAGAATCAATGCCAATACGCTTAGAAATTTGAGGTTTCAGGTGAATACGTACATATCTTCAAATGCTCATTCTTGTTTCCAGAATTTAAACAAATTTACAGAGTTTTGACACCTATATATGTCTAAAAGCAAGCTATCCCTTGTTTGGTTTAGATTAACGTAAAGATTGTACATCAATTTTTAATGGGATTGGGCAATGAAGGATATGGGCCTCTAAGAGCAAATATTTTTGTCGTAGAGCCTCTGGCCCCTCTCAATTGGTTCTACACTACTATCATAGAGTAGGAAGGGGTTTTTAAAATCACTCATGAAGATGAGAAAAATCCAACAAGTTTTGCAGGTACTCATTGGGATGCCAATAAAGAACAGAAGTGCAAACACTATGGAATGACTGGCCACGAGATAAGATGAGAAAAATCTGATAAGTTTTGCAGGTACTCATCGGGATGCGAATAAAGAACAGAAGTGCAAACACTGTGGAATGACTGGCCACGAGATTAGTGGGTGTTTTCAATTTGTGGCATATCACGATGGTGGGGTGATCGGCCACGTGAACCTTTTTCCTCTGAACAATGGGAAGCGCTAATGGGAATGCTCAAATTTTTATAAGATTTATTTATTTAGGTTATTCTTAATTTATGATCAAAGAGTGTGACTGTTTGACCAAAGAAATTAAAACAAGAAAAATTTTCAATAACGGAGGGAGTATTTTGGTACATCTAATATGATTGGATACACATTGTATGAAAATATCAGAACTTTTAATTCGCCTTATACTTATGAACAACTATAATTTGCGATTAAAATCTAATTTAACAACCCTTTATAATTGTTCAGTCGGAGGCCGGATCTGAGGGAACTTTCGGAAATGATTCATTACAAGTCCCAATACACCCACCCAGCAGTGGGCCATTCTCTACCAAGTCCGTACGTGATAAGTCCATCCATAAATGTCGGCTCCATGAATTGTATGTGGGGGTCGTTCACAGTGGAGCAGTACTGTGCCCATGTGATATGATATGTCTACCCATCTCTTACCCACATTTATGAACCGAATCAGACCGGTATCGAAAAATGAAAAAATAAAATTGGTCCGGTTCAAAATTTATATTTTGGGCTATATTTTATTTTTTAGAGTACTTATATTTTAAAATTATTAACAAATTTTAGGGGCCATGTACGGTTGGCCACTTTGCACACCCTCCGGGCCACCCATGCAGTCATGTATTATGGCAGGACTTAATAGAGACTGATGAAATGTCACGTAAGTCCTTCGTTAACATCTACGAAGTACTCCCTCCGTCCTGGAGTATTTATCCAGTTTTGACTTTTTGAACTGTTCATCTAAGCACTTTGACTCATCAATTTCTCTTAATGTGTAAGCCTAAATATAGTCATGTGTGATTTTGTTTGATCTGTTTTAACATATAGATTATTAATATATAATTTCTATAATTTTTAATACACAAAGTACAAGATAAAATCGATTAAAGAAGTGTATTTGATGGTTTGTAAAAATGAAAGTGGACAAATACTCTGGGACGGATGTAGTATATGTTAGTAAAAACATGTGTGTTATAAAATGTGACAAAAATGTCATGAGATACAAAAATAAAGAGTAAAGTATTTTGATTGGTTGATGTGAAAAAAAAGAAACTTAAGCAAGTACCGCTTAAGATTTTCAATTAGTTGTATTCATAAAAAATACTATCATTAAAAATATAAATATTTCATATGAGGAATCTACTTAAATATCATTAAAAAATAATGACTTTCTCTAAATAGCAAAATATGTATTTTTTCAAATGTAACACTTTTAGTCATTATCCATTAGTCATTATTCAAGTAAATGTTCGCCATCAGTGGACATTATTAAGTGTTATTTAGAGAATAAAATAATTTTAGTGTTATTTAGTGCAAATATTTCATTCTTATATGTTCCTTGGTTTTATACTCTTTTTATGAACTTTAATATCTAAACATTATGAAAGAATTATTTCTTTTACAAGCGGTGGTTCCCAATGTCATGGGATGACTCGGGGATGCTCCGGTGCCCCATTCGTAAAATTGACGGTCTGTACCCCACCTAACCCCTCATTCCGCCCCGACCCGAACACGCCTCCCACCCCATTCAATTGCACCCCCTAAGTTAATTTTGACTTTGGAGTCAAATTTTGACTCCAAAGTCAAAATCAACTTGAGGGTGCAATTGAAGGAGGTGGAGGGCGTGTTTGAGTCGGGGCAGGGTGAGGGTTTACCGGGGGATAGGGGAGGTTGGAACCGTCAATTTTACGAATTGATACCGGAGCATCCTCGAGTCAATGACATTGGTTTTCAATGTCATGAGAAAGAAAGAAAGTGTTTTTACAAAAAAAATCTTACGTGTGGAGTCATATATGGAGAGTGTGGGAAAAAATATGGTTACGTGTTTAGCACAAAGAAGTAACTTACCACCGCTCCGATTCCATCCGATCCGATCCCTCTATATAAATAAATTCTCATTGACCAAACGAACCTCAGACCCAAAAAAAAAGTACGCCGGGAAAAATGAAGAAGTCCTCATCACCGTCGTCGTCCACCCACATCGTCGCCGCCTTCCTCCTCCTCCTCGTCGCAGTCGCCGCCTCTTCCGCGGCGGCTGCCAGCTGCAACGTGCAGAGCCTGGCCCCTTGCCTGAACGCGATCACGCTCGGCACCCCGCCTTCCGCCGCCTGTTGCGGCAGCCTGAAGGCGCAGCAGCCCTGTCTCTGCGGGTACATAAAGAATCCCGCTCTGGGAGGGTATGTCAACTCCCAAAATGCCCAGAATGTCAGAACCACCTGCGGGATTCCCACGCCCAAGTGCTAGCTAGCCAGCTAGTTAGCTCATCGGAAACCGCCCCTGCACCGCCATCCCGCCGCCGGGCTTCTATGTTTTTACCAGTAGTTATTATGGCTTCCTTATCACTATATATATTTAAGACGTCGAATAAATTAAACAACTTTAATTTCTTTCACTCCTATATCATTATGTTATCATTATGTTATCATTATGTTATCATTATATATATTATTAGGGGTGTGCGTGAAATCCGTTCCCATTGGACCGTCTCGAAAAATCCCGGATCCGTTTTGTAATTGTACCGATATATTGGGACACAATTTTTTTGTCCCAAACCCGTTCCGTCCCAATATCAAATGGGACATGAGCGGGACCGCTTAAATTTATACTGATCCGTCCCGTTTGTCCCGTTTCATCTACTCTACTAATATATACTCCGTAATACTAATTCTAGTCCAAAATCCAAATACACTCATTCTTTAATTAATTAGTTATTTAATTAAATTAACTTCATGAGCTTAAAATTTATTTGGATCCGTTCCACTCATTGTTTTTTGTTGGATGGCTAGGTGTTTCTTTTTTTTTGAATGAAATGTCACTCTCTTCCCCTTCTTATATTTGCGATTAGGACAAAGTAGGACGACCCGAATCCGTCCCGTTTTGTTCCGATCCCGAATTTTATGGGACAAACCGGGATTAGATTGTAATCCAAACCGTTCCGGACCGTTTATATATAACGGGACAAGACGTGGGACAACCTAAAATCCGGACCGTCCTGATCCGTGCCCACCCCTACTAATTATGTGATGGCAGTTTAATTTGTACTCTACTCTATACAAATTCAGTACAATTTGTCATGAGTAAGTCTCTAGCTAGCATGAATTTACTTTTATACAAAATGATACGGGTTTATATTTAGTTATTTACCATTATTATTATATTACTATTATTATTATAGGTAGTTTTATTATTTATGATACGGGTTTATATTCTTATTAGAAGGTATAATTATATTAGATTATTACATAATACCAAATAAATCAATATAACATACCAATCCTAAGAGATCTAGATGGTAGATATATACATCAGTAATGAGTATTTTAATAATAAGTTAGTTATTCTTTGATAAAAGGGATTTGGGATTAGAGAAGGAGAAGGGAGAGCAAGAAGATAGGGGCCGAACAAAGCGTCGTGCGATTCTCTCTTCTCTTCCTTTTTCCAAATTCCATAGCTTGAAGATGCTCGACCTTCTCTATCCCGATACGATACCGTATCAATTAGTGCTCTCATTGTTGAACTCACCATAAAAAAAAACCAACAAAAAATTGTCGTTGTCGCCGCCACCCAATCTCAGATCCTGTGCTTTTGGTGGTGGCAATTTGCGGATCAGTGGCAATATTTGGCTTGTGCAGATTTCAAGGTAGCACTCCACAATCCACATATTGGGTTTTGAAAGGAAAAAAAAAAGAATAGCGGCGAAGCAATTTCGAAGTGGGAATTGGCAGATTCCTTCTACCACCCAAAGACATAAAAAGTTCCTTGCCAAATTCATTATTTTTCCCCGCCGATTGAGTGGCTACAATAGAGTTTTTTTGCATTGGGCAAATCATTCTCCTCTTATCTATCTTGGTTTGAGTAAGCAGATCAGTTGCATAGAACCGCTTTGCACCAGCCTTAAGAGCATCCAAACCCGTGAGTTCTTATTTATTTACTTTTGTGACTGCCCTGATAATTAATTATGTTTGGAGATTGCCAGCCTTCTATTGATACATTCAATGTTAGAGTTGATAATCTTCTTCGTTTAGTAAAGAATGTTGTTTATGGAAAAACTACATTCGAGGAAGGGATATGTGCAATTGACGATTCCGTTGACGATCTTATAAAGAAACTCCAGTCGCTTCGTCATATTAAAGGTCAATTATCTTATGATCTACACTTATATGCGTTCAACGTAGAAATTTCTTGCTCAATCCAGGATTTAATTCGTGGTTCTCCATTTATTCCAAGTTTGATCCCGATAGAGTTACACTTATTCAAAAAAAAATATGATGAGCGCGGTAAGGAAACTCATCGTGGCGCCACTTTCTCCACCAAATCTAGCCCCTCAGGCTGGGGAGGTGATTGTTTAGATCGTGGAAGACACAACCGCCTACACTGGTTCTGTTGTAGAAAATTCAAGCGCCGAGCCATGCGTCGAGGATGACAGGAAAATTGGGTCTGATGTCATGGATACTAGTGCTTGTGCTAGTGCTCGAGTTGTTGAGTCAACTTACAAGTCTAAGTGCCTACCCGAACAGTGCCCCGATGGTGTTCCTCTGATTGTGACTGATCATGCCCCTACAAATGGTGTTAATGGAGACAACCATTGGCAAAGCCTCTCTATCCTGAAGAAAGTTTCCCCAGGCAACAATGTGATTTTTTCTGGATGCACAAAGGAATTTGAGACGAGAGCTATTGAGGTTATTGTCTTTTGTGGTTCTAAATGTTTTACGCAAGAGGACATCGTTTTTCAACCGTTGGTTACATGGAGCAGTTTTATTCATACTGATGGTGCTTTGGATCCCACACATTCTTTTGGTGCTCCAAGGATCAAGGTATTTGACCCCGGAGGATGGTCGATGAACGGTGTAATTTTTTCCCGTTCTTTATTTTATTTCCAACTTGAGGACAAGTTGGTTTTCAAGGCGGGAAGAGTGATACGGGTTTATATTTAGTTATTTACCATTATTATTATATTACTATTATTATTATAGGTAGTTTTATTATTTATGGTTAGATAATTTGTCATGAGTAAGTCTCTAGCTAGCATGAATTTACTTTTATACAAAATGATACGGGTTTATATTTAGTTATTTACCATTATTATTATATTACTATTATTATTATAGGTAGTTTTATTATTTATGATATGGGTTTATATTCTTATTAGAAGGTATAATTATATTAGATTATTACATAATACCAAATAAATCAATATAACATACCAATCCTAAGAGATCTAGATGGTAGATATATACATCAGTAATGAGTATTTTAATAATAAGTTAGTTATTCTTTGATAAAAGGGATTTGGGATTAGAGAAGGAGAAGGGAGAGCAAGAAGATAGGGGCCGAACAAAGCGTCGTGCGATTCTCTCTTCTCTTCCTTTTTCCCAATTCCATAGCTTGAAGATGTTCGACCTTCTCTATCCCGATACGATACCGTATCACAAAAATGCCAGAAAGCATCACGATTTATATTACGAATGATAATTATGTGTGAAATTGTATATACATTGGCGATAATGAACATTGGGTCATTTACTTCTTAGTAGTTAGTACCCTTCAAACAAGCCGTTTTAGGCTTGCGAAGTGGGGGCTTATGATGGGCTATTAGGCCATTAGGCTTAGGCCCAGTCCAACACCTCCTTGGAGCCTAGCACACCAAGTGTGATCCGAAGAACCTTGGGCCTGGCACACCAAATATATATTCGGTTTGGAATTTTCGGTAGGGAAAGTTATCTCGAACCTTTTCCAAATACTTAATCGGAAATTTGGTTTGGTGCGATTCAGTATTTTATCAGTATTTTTTTGATTCGGTATTTTTCAATTCAATTTTTTTAATTTTTTCAAAATTTTTCAGTATGTCCGTCACTGGATCACCATTCACCCCTAACAATCACTACTTAAGCATGAATTTATTGCACCAACACCTCCTAGGGTGTTGGTTGTGATATTGTGACGCCAATGCTCTTGGACAAAAAATATCCTTCAAATATTATGTGAATAACTCCGCTACCCCATATACTTTTGAAAATGGCCGTTAACGCCCCTCTCTTTTTTCTTTATTATTTTTCTCTTTTATTTTTTTCATAAAGAGAAGAAAAACATTTTTGTGTGAAATAATGAAAATTTATTTTTAAAACCTACATTTTAAAAAAAAATAAAAATTAAAATAAAAAATGTTTGTCTTTGAAATAAAGAATGAAATAAAAAATTTAACATTTACTTAATTTGTCAAATTAAATATTTTTGTTTTTTGTCTAATTTTTTTTTATCTTTTTGAATATGACGGGGCCAAAAAATACTGAGTAATGTCTTTTTAATATATAGTTAATTACTCCCTCCGTCCCAAATTATTTGTCACATTTCTATTACCGAGGCAAAATATCAAGTTTTTTCAATTCATTTTATTTACATATTGGTAAAGAAATAAAAAATAAAAATTACATATAAAAAAAACTACATGAAAAGTTCTTCAAAATAAGGGGTGTCAAAAATATTTTATTTTAGACCTGGCAAAAAATGACCCGACCTGTTTTTGACCCGAAACCCGACCTGAAAACACTGGGTTTTGAACAAAGGTTTTGATGACCGAACTCGAAGTTGACCGAACCCGAAATGACCCGCTAAAAATGGGTCAAACCCGACCGAACCCGAACTCGACCTGACCGACCCGCTAAAGTAAGAAATTTTCAAAAGTATACACTTTACTAGTCTTTTTTAGTGTATAAATTTATATTTTCAGACAAAATTTTAATGATATTGCATAATTATCTTACTTTTTTCAAAAATTTAAGCATTTTTAAATTCTTTATATTGATTTATATGTCTAAAAATCACTCCAGAGTTTAAAATAAAATAATTTTATAGATTTTAATACAATTTTTTATATTTTATATTTATTTAATAAAAAATGTAAGTGTTAATGTGAATTTAAAAAAGCAAAGTCATAACCCGCTGGGTCGACCTGAACCCGATGACACTGGGTCATGAACATATAGTTCTCAACCCGAACCCGAATTGACCCGAACCCGAAATAACCCGAACTTGAAGTGACCGAACCCGAACCCGACCTGCCCGACCGATTTGCCAGCTCTATTTTATTTTATCAAATAACCAATGAAAACGTAGAAATAAACAAAAGTTCCCGCGATTGCTGAAAAAGCAAATGTTGTGAATATTTTGGGACGAAGGAAGTATATATTAATAACATTTTTTGGACCGATGCGCAAAAAATTTTCTTCATGACTTAATTTTCCCTATTCTATAAAAGTATTTTTCATATACTTTTCTTTATCTTTATTTGATTTTCTATTCTTTTTCCTTTTATTTTAATTTTGATTAAAATAAAAGAAACTATATAATGTTAATGAAAGAAAAATGAGATACGAGCTTTAGTTAAAAAAAGAATGTTTCATTTATTTTTTTATCATGAAAATGAACCAACAAAGTCCTTTTTTTAGAAAAAATTGAAAAAATATTTAATTTGAGACAAATCAAGTGTACGTTACTTCTTGTTATTTAATAAAAAAAATTGCAAACACAAAAAACATTAATCATAAAAACATTTTAAAAAATAATTTTAAAAAAGAAATTAAAAAACATTTATGAAAAAATAGTAGAAAAAAGAAAAACATTAAGAAAAGAGGGGGCGTTTGTGCAAATTTCTAAAACCATAAGAGGCAACGGAGCTATTCACATAATAGTTGAAGGATATTTTAATCTAGAGAGGTATTAATGTAGCGGTATTAAAACCATGAAGGACATTGGCGTAAATTTTGAAACCATATAAAATAACGGTGAATAATTAGCAACCCGCATGAGGTCTTGGTGCAATAAACTCACTCAAGGAGTATTTAATTGTGTTGTACTTTGTACATGCAATTCAACCTCATCCGATAGGCCATCAACCGTGCTGACCATTTCACCCCTAACCGATGAAATTTGAAGCCATAGTAATAGCAACCCACCAAAATTCCACCCAAGTACGATTTGAGAAAGATATGCCTGGGAGATTTTATCTCTATTTAGATTTTAGATCTTTTTTCTTGTGAATTTTTTAAGATTATACGGAGTATTACACTAAAACGTGAAAGTTATACCAAAATAAGATATTGTATTCTTTTCCCATAAAATGAGGTTTTGGCACTCTAGAACATCCGTAATTTGGCATTGTCTCTTGACATTTCCGAGTATTATTTGCATTATATTTTTACATTATTTGACACTATTAATCCTATTTTGATATAAAAAGAATCTTGAAAATCCTATTTGGATATACGGAGTATGAAGTATGTAACATATTTTTGTCGTAATTAGGTATTTCTCTCAAAAAAAAACATAAGGCCCCCATCCCGTGATTCTCTTATTGTTTGCTTTTTGTGAAATTTGTGTCCATTTTATTAATAAGCTTGATGACTAAAATTAATTCATCACATCTAAATTAATTCATTAAGACCATCCATTTCCTTAATTTCCACAATCACAGCTAGCACAAATTATGTCAATTAATAAACAGTTAGCCGTTGAACTCTACACACCAAATTAAAGTCACCAATGCCACACATTCTCTCCTACATATCTATAAATACATTGTCACTTTTTTCACAAAATAAACCACACAAAAGCAAGAAATCCTAAATCCAATAAGCCTAAAACACAACTAATATAATCACTCTCCATATATACCATACAAATAAGATGACAATGAAGACACCCTCCCCCTACGTCGCAGTGTTGTTGCTGATGTTGCTGGTGGTAGAAGGGACAGCACAACCTTTATCCACCCCTTCAGCCGCCGCAGCAGCACCAGCAACATGTGACATAAGAGAGCTGGCCCCTTGCGGAGGCAACAACTCCCAACCCTCCGGGGAGTGTTGCGCGAAGTTGAAGGCACAGGACCCATCATGCTTATGCCAATACGCCAAAAATCCATCTATCAACGTGCAACAGGCAAGGGCGATCGCTAAGTACTGCAATGTGCAATTGCCCAAGTGCTCATCTTGAATCGAAATAAACCTTCTTATTTATCTTACTGCATTTTCTTCATATGCTTCCATATAATTAAGTACGTTTTTATGATATTTATATACGAGAAGAATAAAGTAAACCCTGCACGACCTTTCTCTTTGATATGCATATTTAATTAAGAGGAAGTTAATGTTGTGGTTATTTGGTTAATTAATAATGTACTTCGTTTTTATATCTATACATAAGTCATGAAGTTATGATCTATTGCATGCAAGTTTTCAACTTGCAAAAACTTACTAGTGTTTCCTTTGTTTGGAATTGAAAATTACGGAGTATTAGATTGTGGAACGTGTGATCGATGCATGCACCCGTTTTGGATTATATTATACTCCCTCCACAAAACATTACCCATTTTGATATATTTTTAGTCAAACAGGTACACGCTTTGATCATAAATTAAATATAATCTAAATAAAGAAACGTTATAAAAATTTGATATATCAAAACTAGATCTTGAGATGAATACAATTATATTTAAATTTATATTATAATTCGAATTAATTTACTCACAATTTGTAGTCAAAGTATGTAACTATTTGACCAAATACTATTCAAAATGGGTAATGTTTTGCGGGACGGAGGAAGTATCAAAGTAATTTTCAATAATTTAATTTATATAAATATTGTTGGCTAATTATCGAGTATGATTATGAATCAAGAAAATTAAAATAAAATTTATATGACTACACATGTAAGTTTTAAGGAATGAGTGACACATGGCTATTTTATTTTATTAAATGATTAATAAAAATAAATAAATAAAAAAGAGTAGGTAGAATATACCATTTGAATATTAAATGAGAAAATTATTTAGAAACAGATGAAGTAATATTTGATGTACTATTTAATATTGTGAAATTTGCAGTAAATAACACTAAAACTATGTCATTTTTCAATGTAGCACTTAAACTTTTTAATTCTCTAATTACTACTTGAACAATGTCTAATGGCGGGAACAATGTCTAGTGATGGTGGACATTTAATTTGAACAATGTCCAGTGGCAGCAAACATTTACTTGAACAATGACCAGTGAACAATTGTATTACATTGGGAAATAAAAATATATGGTACTAAATTGAGAAATTCATTATATTTTAGTATTATTTAGGTAAAATTTCTTTAATATTATACTCCATCCGTCCCCCTAAGATGTTCTCATTTTGACTTTTGGTGGTTTTTAAGGAGAGTTAAAAAAAGGTGAAAGTTTACCATAATATATACCCTTAATGAAAAATGGGTGGAGTGTATTAAATGAGGTGGGTGAGGTGTAATAAATAAAGTAAGTGGGGGTAGTTGTGGTATTTTACTTGTTAAAAAATGAAATGAGAAGATCTATTGTGGACAAAGAAAAAGGACTATTAGGAAGATCTATGGGGATAGAGGGAGTATTCCATATCCGTATATGTAATTTATGCACTGGGAGTTGCACAATTCACACGAACTATTATAGTCAGAGATGTTGTTTGTATTATACTCCGTACTCTCTTGTCTATAATTAATCTTCCCATCTTCCTTATTTTTCCATTCATAAATTATCTTCGTGTTTTTTTTGGAAAATGCTTTTTCTTTAAATCACATCACTATCCTCACATTTACCTATTCATTACCATCCATACTTACATTTTATTTCACTTTTCGCAACCACTTAAGAATAAATATGGAAAGTCAAAGGATTTTTTTTACTTTTCCTTAATTTGCGGGTAAATTTAAAGCGAGAAGATTATTTTGAACGGAGGGAGTGTTCTATAACTATCCCAAGGGCATTTTGGTATATTTCATTATTTTAATAATAGTTAATTAATTTATTAGTTGTTATTAACAACAAAACATTAAAATCAACTATGTTTTAATATTATTTAGTTGAAAATGATGGATGTGTCACCAAACTAAAAGACATTGCCTTGTATGGAGCATTTATTATTTTTGTTGTTTTGGCCCATAGTTTCTATTAGGCTCATAACTTGTGTAAATTGTATATATACTGGTCTTGTGCATAATTAAACCCCGAGAAGTTATTTTCCGAAGTTACTTATATAACACTTATCATTAATTTCTTTCATATTGAAATAATAAATCAGAGTAACAAGTACAAAGATCAGTTCAGATCATCTTTCTCGCTCGATATGAGAGACGTTATACATGTATAGTTTATCGTCGTCATCGTAGAAAGAGAGATCGAGATACATGCTTATTATTAATAATTAATTATTAGTAAGCTAATTAAGGAAACAATATATGATAATTATTTCCTAATTAATTGGCACTTTGGGATAGTGAGGGTGCATACTTTGGCAACATTCTTGCCGTTTGGGGACTCCAAATACTTCTGCAGGTTGGGATCTTTCATGTACTTGCAATAGCAAGGCTCCTGCTCTTTCAGCTCCTTGCAGCACTCCGGGGGCGGACTGACTGTTGAGGTGAAGGCCGGGAGGCACGGCAACAACTGCAACACGTCGCAATCTGCCCCCGGAGGCGGGGCCATGTTTGGCGGTGCCACCGCCTCTGCGGCCACCAGCACCGCCGCCGCCGCCACCATGAGAACCACCATTTGGTTGATGAAAGCCTTCATTTTTTGTTGTTCTTGTGCAACTTCTAATGTAGTCAAAGTTAATGCCAATATGTTTATGATGTTGTAGGGTAGTGTGAATATTTGGCTTGGTGGAGTGCATTATGGCGCGGCTCTATTTATAGAGAGAGTTGGTGGTGGGTAAAAATGAGGGGTAAATTAGTACTCCGTATTTAAACTAAGTAATGTTGAAAAATCTTTAACAGGCCGGTGGGTGCCAAACCGGCTAGCTCCATCTAACTGAAATTAGATAGATGGCTCTATTTGAACATAACATTTAGGTTTGGGCTTCTCATTCTGTTTTTTTTAAACCTTCATTTTTATGACAAATACTCTTACTCTCTAAAAATCATTTCAATTTGACCTTCCATCTATCTCAAAGAATTTAACTTTTATTTAAAAATTCCTATTTGCATGTAACTAATTACTCCTTAATTATTAACCTATTATCAAATTCAAACAAATTTATTCACTCTTAATTAACCTATATATCACATTATATATTATACCCTACCTTTTTACGGGGTATTTGGTTTTTGAATGCTACCTTTTTATGGGGTATAAAGCGAGAGTAAAATAAATAAATAACACTCAAATTACACATTTCTTAATACTTTTTGTCCTAATTAAAAACTTTTCGTCTTTCATTTTCTACTTATCATAAAATACTTTTTCTTTTGACTTAAATGTACACAAATGCTTTTATTTATTCTGAATCTAACTTAATCCTATCTCAATAACTCTCTTCAACACCCTCCCTATTATGATATTTTCCAAACCCTGGCCTACTTATATAAATTCAGTTCTCGTTGTTTATTCTGTATCAAACGTCTATAACTTCTCATGTCAAAATATGAAATATTTTTAGGGCGTATGAAGTATTTTCAAAAGCGAAAAACTTTTTAGACAGAGATAGTACATACCTTTTATACTTTGACTTTCATATAGCTTAAAAAGAATAAACTCTTAGGTAAGTTAAGTTGCTCCAAAAAATTTTTGGACTTTTTAAATAAATGCATAGACATTTTCATAATTAATGTTATAATGATAAATTTTTATTTAATTTTGTTTTTTTATTAATAAGCTTATGTGAGAAGCTCTACATATTATTATACTCTCTATCTCTCTTTCCCATTATTTTGATTCTTCTCATTTGATTTTGATTCTTCTCATTTGATCCAAGAGTTTGACTATCAATATTATTTTATTTATAATTTGACATATATTATAAAAATAAACAATATTTTAAAATTAACTTATTGATATATATTAAATTTAAATCACAATTCAAAGTTTAAAAATGTTGGTCTTGAAAGTCAAACTAGGAAGAATCATAATGGACGGAGAGAGTATGGAATTTAAGTCTATCGGGTCTATAGTGGAAAGCGAGCTTCTACCTTAATTGGCTTGAATGTCAAGAAGTTCACTCTCCATGAGAAGCTCAGACATATTTATTTCCAGTGGAAGTATACGTAGAATACATAAATCTTATTTTACTCCCAATATAACTTGTCTATCTACTATTTACAGAGTTATAAACCTTAACCACATTCGATCTTTACCCAATTTCGCTACCGATTTGAGAAAAATAATACAGTTTTCTCATCTCTTGTTTTTGTAAAACTTTTGATGTATAGTAGTTTTAAATATATAAAATTTATTTTTTAGTTTCATAGTGATTTTCAAATAAATTGATTGGAAAATAACTGTGGTCAAATTTCGTAAACAACAATATGCCATTGAATTTAGAACAAAGAGAATATTACTATGTTTAATCTTACTATTTCACAATCTTACTATTTGTAACAATTTTGTTTGTGAACCTAGCATGTTTCCTTGTTGCAATTGGATTGCCCCCCTTGAACGCCAAACTCTTTATTGCCCGGAAAATTTAATACACCATATATATTCATCCAAATTTTTTCTTTTCATTTGGAAGAAATCTTTTTAAAATAACTTTATTTACAAGTTGTATAAAAATAAAAAGTACAAATTACACCATAGTACAAATTCAGAGGTAATTTAAGAATATTTTATTTTTTCTCAAATAATCAATGAAAGCAAACATATAAATACGGAGTATAAGTTATCGATTGTGTGCCTCTATGGAACAATTCTTGTTGGATAGTTTCTTGGGAGAACTAGGAGTCATAAATTTTTAAGACCAAAATAGATCGACAAATTATTCCAGAAAGATGATATGATATACTTCCTCCGTCCCAAAAAGTTCGTCCCATTTCAAAAAATTTGCGTCGCTTAAAGTGCGTCTCATTTCTATTAAAAGACCACTTTTACCCCTTACTTTTTCATACCCTACCGATCACATCATACCTTTTTTCTAATAATCTAACCATCACATCCTACTTTTATCCATCACATCAAGGGTATTTTTGGAAAGTCAACACAAAATTATTCCTCCTTATTTTACCACTTTAGTCAAAATGTTCTAATCTTTTTGGGACAGAGGGAGTACAACATAAAATTTAACATTAATCTCTTTCATATATATTGAAATAACAAATTAAAGTAACAAGTACAAAGATCATACATGAGATACATATGATCAATCACTTTAGATCATCTTTCTCTTGATATGAGCTAGATATTGAAAGAGAAAGATGTTTATTCTTATTCTTTGTAATTAATTATTATTATTAGTAAGCTAATTAGGAAACAATAATAAATCATTTCTCAATTAGCACTTTGGGATGGTGAGCATGCAGACTTTGGCAACGTTCTTGGCGTTTGGGGAGTTCAAATACTTCTGCAGGTTTGGGTCTTTCATGTACTTGCAGAAGCAAGACTCCTGCTCTTTTAGCTTCTTGCAGCACTCCGGGGACGGGGCGGCCTTCGAGGTGAACGCGTTGAGGCACGGCATCAACTGCTTCACGTCGCACGCCCCTCCCGAAGGGCCCGGAGGAGCCGAGGGCGGCGTGTTAAGCGGCACTTCCGCCGCCGCCGCCACTAGGGCCGCCACCACCGTGAGAATCACTATTTGGTTGATGAAAGCCTTCATATTTTGTTTTTGTTTTTTGAATGAAATAAAAAAAATATTTTTTTTTGCAACTTTTAGTGTACTCAAAGTGTTGTCAACATATGATGTTGTCTAGTAGGGTGAGTATTTGGGTCTATTTATAGGGAGAGCGTGGATATAAAGCAAGGGTAAATCTGACATTGTAACTAGCCCACGTTGAGAAACGCCTTTCTTAGGTGGGTGCGCCATACCGGCTCTAAACAGCAATTTTCCCTCCCTTTTTTTAATAGTTTGACATTTTTATTAAAATTTACAAACTTTCATTATGAATTGTGAAAAGATATTTTTAGTTATAATATAAATTTAATAAAATTAAATTTATTTTAAAACATAATTTTGATATATCAAATTGTTTAACATTTTATTTAAAAATATATTTATTGATGTGTGTAGCTATTTGATAAAAAAATCAAACCAAGTAAGTACAATTGACCTTTTTCTTTCAATGAGTCCCATCTCATAAAGCTCTCTCACATTCGGTTTGATAACCACAGGAGTTAAATCGGACTTTAATCGCAAATTAATGTTAAATCGGACTTTAATCGCAAATTAATATTTACAGAGGCTTTACGTTTAACATAAATTACCTCCTAGCACAGTCGCCAGAAATAAAATTCGGGTCTACCTCCTTAGTACTCCCTGTCTTTGTCAACTGCGCAACGCCCACCAACACTTTTTTCCTTCACAAAGTCTATTAGTTGTACGTGGAGCTGATTTTCCAAAAACATCACTCCCTAATTTCTCTTCATAACCCACACTTTTAATTCTCTCACATTACACATAGCCATAAAGTAAGTGACTATATATTTAAGTTATGCTATCAAATAAATCAAGAGAAATAAATTTAAACATTTTAAAGATTGATTACGTGAATACTTCCAAAAGTAATAAAAAATTATGAGGATACACCAAAAATTGAGTATAAAGTTTTATCAGTATTCTTTTCATGGGACTCTCTAGTCAACTAATGCCTTATTTTTTTTTATTCTTTTAGATTTTTAATCACGGCATAATATTTTTGGAATTGGGAATACATCTGCAATGAGGTGTTTTTTTTTCCAAGTTATGGAGTTTTTCTTTTACTTTTTAAATAAAAAAATTGAGGACATCATGCAGTTATAAGAAATTTTATCATCATTTCAGAAGTGCTCGTTTTCTTTTTTTTGTTACTAGAAAAGATTGAGAACCAATATTCTCATACACTTCAAAATGCTTCTATTTTAAACAAAAGTTAATAAAATTAATTATTTTTAAAATCAATCTCAACCACTCTAAAATATACTCTTTCCCCCATCAATCTTCTCATTACGGCTTGATAAACTTTATTTTCAATTTAAATTTTTAGTACTATTAATTCGATTACAATGTAAATATCTGTTTATACTTTTTTAATCTAACAACGTACAAAGAGTCAATGTATTCGCCTACGCTGGGGCTCAAACCTGTGTAAACTTCTCATTTAATCTTAGCTAGAGGGCTTTGTATCACTCAAGTCATGAGAAAAGTTCATTTTCCAATTCAATTTATTTTGTTGCAAGTGTAATATTTAAAATAAAGTTATATAGTAAAAACTACGTTTTCCTAAAACAATTCCATGAAAAACTTTTCAAAATAAAAGGTGATAAGACTATATTTTTTCATATAATAAATATTAAAAATAAATAAATAAAGTGTCTTGAAAAATATACTACTCCGTAGTAACAAACCATGGCAAGAAACAAACGGAGACATTTAACCGCTGATAGGGAAGGAGGCCGCTCCACATCTAATTACGGCGTCGCATGTAACCCTCTTTTCCCATCCATTTTCCATACGTTTTCAACTGCATATAAATCTGAAAGAATTCTTTTCTCATACGATTCAAACACCTCAGGTTTTTATTATATTACTCCATTCTTTTTGTATACTTTTGCAAAATAAAATCAACATAACATCCCTCTCAAATTATTTATTCCATCCTAACTCTTTTCAACTAAGCAAGACTCTTTTTGGGAAGAGCATTTTCGATTAGCGTTCGCGATTCAGATAAAATTTTAATAGTGTAAATTAATTCAGAAAATGATGAAGCCAAACAGGACCTAAACTGAGCAAAAATTGATCACTAATCAAATGAAAATAACACTACATATTAATACAAGTATAATTCATCTTCCAAAAGGGTTTCAAAAGATTATACCATTGTACTGACTGATGTGCCACAATTCAATTTTTGAACATGAAAACACTATTTGTACTTTCCCCACAAATATAGGTCTGAAAAATGGGTAAAGAATAAGGAATGAGAACACAATTTACTTACAGAGAATGGAGGGAAACAATTCATGTGCTTTTTTTCCTCTCATAAATGAAGAAGGTCAGAGATTTGGTTCCACCCCATGAACCAAGGGCGCTTGTCGGAAGGAAGGACGAAGTTGAGCTCAAACATTTCCCTTGACATGGTCCCACTGCCCTCGCAGAAACCCACAAGCCTTGCAACTATCTCTGCACTCTCTTCCACATGTTTCCTGTCATGTGGCTCTGTCCACAGCTTGTTTATCAACTGTATCCTTCTCTGCTTTGCCTCTAGTGGCACCCCCCACTTCACGTAGAGTGCGTCCCTTTCCTCGGGACCCAAGCGACTCGTCAATCTTTTCGCAAGAAACTCCCTTTCCCTCTTCAACGCCTTCATGCTGCGAAAGATAATGGGAAATGAATTGAAAAGGAAAGACTTGTTTCTCCTTTGCATTTGCAAACATAAAAGGGTATGCATGCAGAACATGTTAGAGAAAAGAAACATGATCAACAATTATGTTTTTCATAGTCTTTATGTTAGAGGAATGGATAAATGAAATAAGTTACAACAAATATGCAAGATAAATGTATTGAATTTGAGCTTATCTTTTGTATTCTCTTCCAATAATCATCTCCATGTTTTGTTTCACTAGTATTTTCCATGTTCCAAATGGACCCTAAGTGATCTGAGAACAACTAACTAATTAATCTTAAGTGTAGAATTGTGAGATTCCATCCAAAACCGATTGGCAATGGGAGGAGTAACTCATATTCTTATGTGTTAGTCTTTTTTGTCTGAGTAATCGATGTGAGACTCCATATGAAATAAAAGTTAAGCCATAAGACTATAGAGAGAGAAGAGCACAAACCTTGATGATAAGGAAATGGTTGGCTCATTTCCTACATGAGCTGGACTTGCATTTCCAAGTTCTGCTAGGTGTTGTTGTAACCAAGTCAAGCGTCTAAGTTCAACCTCCATGTATATCTGATCTGTTGGGTCTCCCTTAAATAATAGATAGAACTGTGACCTATGAATAATGGAGACATAGCAAACGTCCCATAGTTCAATGATCTGTTGTTGTTGCTCCCTAAATATTATGTGCCACGAAGCCGAAGACTCCTCCTCCATCTCAGGAACACCGTCATTTTCCAGCGTGTACCCTGCTTCTTCATTTGCTTCAAGTTCAAGCACCTTAAGGAATGAATCGAAAACAAAACTATCAGCTCTGAGTATGTGAAAATAAAGGTCCTGTTAAATTGTACCAAGTTCAGCCCAAAAGGATACTCAGTTGTTCATACAGCCCCTCAACCCAAGTGACATCGTGGACAAATGGGTCCATAATGATCCCAAGCAGGTTAGCCTTAAACTATCATCGTGGACAAATGGGTCCATCATGGTTGCCTCAAACCACCATCAAAGACATCATATATGTTAAGTTAGACTCACCTCATCCCAAAATGTGGGGTGAGGTTTTTACTTCACATTTATGGGAAAATCCAACATACTTGCTATAAATAGGATTAGTCAAACTCATAGGACCTAAGAAGGTTATACAACCAAATGCTCATATCTCCGATTAGTTAGACGGTCTTATCCACTAACCCCGGTATATATGAGGTCATATTGCATAGAAAGTTCTAGTTAAGTCCAGATGTATGAAGAAAAACATATGTCGTCTTATTTAGAGAAAGTACATGTGCTTGATCCAATATGAAGCAATACTTTCCACACTAACCCTACTCAATACAAAGTCTATACTTGAAGCAATGTCACAAACTCACCTGGCACACAAGCAGCTGCTTTTGGTATTGTAGCTTGGCAACACGTTCTTTAAGTTCCGTTACATACGACCTTATGCTTCTGACATTCTCTTCTGCTGCATCTTGAAACATTTTCTGCATTTTTCTCATGTTGACAGGAGTACTCTCTTTTGACGATGCCTCACCTCCTCCACTTTTAGTTGGAGTCTCCTTCTCAACTGACACATCATCATTATACTCTGGAGCTCTATTTTCAATGTCAGAGTTCATAACTTGACGGGTAGATGATAGAGGAGAACATGGAGATCTGATGAAACTTTGCATATTAAGGCTGTTGTTAGATGCTAACGGGAGTAATTTCTTCTTCTTTGGATTTTTAGACTTCACGGATGAATCGTTATTTGAATCTGGAAGGGACATTACTAATTTGTCTATAGACTTCTGAACGATTTCCAGTTGCTCTTCAAGATCTGCAATTGAACTACCTTGAAAATGCAGTTTGGCAATCTCTTCCTTGAGGTTTGCACTGACACTCTTATGGACAGAAACCACATTTCCAACTTCAATTTCTTTTGGAACATGCTGCTCTGCACACATTCCCCTGATCTCCGATTGCAACTTAGCTATAGTCTCAGCAGCATCTTGGTTGCCTTGTCTGTAACAAGTTACCTCCTTCTGCAATACTTCTAATGCCCTGTTTGCCTCTTTTCCGAGTTGCTCCTGAAGGTGTTCAAGTTTCTTAATTTCATGCATGAGTGTGAAAGGAACGGCTAATGATTGCCTCATGGACTGTCTCCCCATTGTATTTCTTGCTCTTCCTTTGAGGTTTGGTGATGTGGAAGAGAAAGAGAGAGCCTTTTTTGCAACTGGACTACTAGTTGACTCCTGTTGTTTTAGTCCCTAAATTTGAATTCAAATATTCAATGTCAATCAAACAAAGCTGATCAACTCTATTCTAGATTTCTGCTGTTGTGTGTATGAGATACAGAGAGAGAGAGAGGACCTGTTCTTCCTGAAGTTTCCTGAGTAACTCATCTACTTGGGACTGAGCAAGATCTCTTTGGCGCCTCAACTCTTCAATTTCCATCTCCATCTAACACAAAGTTAGCCAAGTCAGATTAGTACTAGTACTCTTCTTACAAAATAAAAATCCATGTTGCACTCGTGTGTTGAACAAACCTGCTGAATTTTTATATCTTTGTCATTTGAAATATCTGGAGTTCCCAGCTGTGCTTCAAGTCTGGCCACCTCCTTCTGCAAATGCTTAACAAGCTGTTTGTCGGATACAACCTGATAAAAAACATTGGAACAAGAAAAAGAATGTCTTCAATTACTCTGTATGGAGTGTATTAACAATTACTCTGTATGAAACACGCAATCCTTTCCCTAAAATGAATCATGTAACTTATTTTGGAACAAACGAAAAAATTGATTTTTTGGGAGTGGTGTAGTATTATAGAACACAGTAAATGGTGCAGAAAAATACCAAGTTCACTTGAGCATTGTTTGTTACTTCTTTGGCACGAGTAGCAAAGAAGAGAGTATTACGGGACTGTTCAACATGACAAGAAGCAGGGCTCAAAGTGCATATGATGGCAGTACGGGCATTTCCCCCTAGAGAGTGCTGCAATATGCGTGTTAGCTTTGAGTCTCTGTAGGGTATATGTCCAGTTCTTTTTCCCATGCTGAAGACCAAAACACCAAAAACATTCAATTATCTTATGTCAACAACACGCAATCACATATACTATGTATAGTGGAAAAAACATAACAACCAAACATGCTAAGAATGAAATCATTGTCTGTAGTATGAGCTCCTTTGGTGTAGGGGCTAAATTAGCTGAATCTCCTGGATTTTCTAATATTGTGACTGAAATGGCTGGCTCAATATATTAAATAATTAAAAAGTATATTAAAAGTATGTTTCTTAAATAAAATAAATACTCCGGAGAACAATATCATCCCCGCCAATGAAATTCATGCACGGTTTTTCCATGATCACTGATCTGGCTGAAATGGCTGGCTCAATATATTAAATAATTAAAAAGTATATTAAAAGTATGTTTCTTAAATAAAATAAATACTCCGTAGAACAATATAATCCCCGCCAATGAAATTCATGCACGGTTTTTCCATGATCACTGATCAGCCACTTTTAGACAGCATGATGAAATTCATTAGATAGTTTTTATGGAAGTCAAACAAAAGAGGTCACCGAACGGACTCACATATCAAAAAGGATGTTAAGATATTTTAAAAGTGTTACCTAAGCTTTCTTATTACAGTTGTTAGAGTCATCAAACTCAGGTTAATATGGCAGCCTTCCCTGAGCCTAGCACCTTCAGCATTTGTCTGTGATGCTCTCTCACTTCCAGCTAAATCCACAAAGTTCTACAATCATAGAAAGTGAGTGAATAGGTCCTGATCGTCTTCAAACATCTCTACTCAAAATAAAGTAAAATAAATTTCACTCACCAAACTTGCAACATAAGACCTCACACAACCTGAACTTTCTCGAAGGATACTTTCTATCGTCTGCAATTTTCCCCCAAAATAAAGGTAATCAATAGAATTCAGATGAAATATGAAATCAATAGATCTAATACCCAAATTGGTTTTTCGAGTATACACTACTATATAAACTCAATTTGGTCCCTGACTTTCTTTTGGATTCAATTTGATCAGACTCAATTTAGTCTCCAAGCATATTTATCTCTAATTGAGAAGGTTACTTTTGTGCTTTGTGGATTAAATTGGATCCAAACTACATAGTCACATTGAGTCCAAAAGTGGATCAGATTATGTGGAAGAGAAAATTAATCTTTTTATAATAAAGAACAATATATGTACAAGGACATAAATGAATCCAGAAAATGTAGTTGGCCAAAATGAATTATAGTGGGGAGCCACTTGCTTTAAGCAAAATATAATATGTCAAACTATAAGCTATTGGTATGGTGGGGAGCCACTTGCCAGTCTTATGATCTGGTGAGACCGTGAGCTAGTCTCATTAAGAGAAGTTTCACCAACTTGTCTTTGAGCTGCAGGGAAAATGAGAAAGACCACTATGAAAGAAGGCTCCGATTTAAGTGAAAGTGATTGATCACATCAAGAAGACTGAAAGACATGCGTAAACAAATTTCTATTAGGGCTGTAAAATTCTCACCATCACAAATACTAATAAGTTCTCTGAGATGTTCATCATTTGCTGCTGTTTCTTCAACCAACTTTTCAACTGTAGTTCCTTTCTACATTCAGATACAATTTAATAAGCCAATAGTACAAATGAACTGGAAATGAAAATGTTAAGAATTTGGCTTATGCTTTCACCTCCGGATCATCTAGAAGTTTGAGACTGCGACCAGATTCTGAATTCAATAAGTCCCTTACATTCTCATTGTAGATTTCTAGTCCAGATATCTTTATTCTAAATTCTCGTCCCGGGTTCTATAGTAATAATAAGACAAGAAACTGTAAGATAAATCAATATAATTTAAGAATGATATATGTATAGAGAGAAAAAACTAATTATGCAGCCAATTTATGCTCATAATTTCTGATGATTAAGTTTTTGAAGTTTCATAGATAACACCTCACATGTCAAGTAATTTTACAGAAAAATAGTAAAATCAACCGCTGGAGTTCAGGAAATCCTTACATTTGCTATATGGGCATAGATGTCATTAACAGCTTTCGCTGTAATTCCTCTCATAGTGTAAGTCTTACCACTGCTAGTTTGCCCATAGGCAAAAATTGTTGCTGCAGTTGAAAGTAAATTGATCAAATCAAATTAGACTAATTCAAACCTATGATAGGTACAAAAAGCACACCATTATAATAATAAGATTTGTACCATTGATCCCCATTAAAGCAGATAGAGCCACATTCTTTACCCCTTCCTCGTATACATTTTCAGTTAAGCTATCGGGACCAAAGACCTTATCTGGAAGGGAAACAAATCAACACCCAAGCATATTAAGGCAGTCCAAGTAATAGCCTATACTCTATTTGAACATACTTAAGAGCCCACTTTTTCCAAATCGCACAGATTAAGAAATATGCATAATTTTTTTTAATTAATCACAAATGCTATCTTACCAAAATTTCACTTACTATAGGTAGCTCTCGTTGTAGAGTAATAAATTCTAAAAGGCAACATTAGTAAGAAATAGTCCGTAATTAATACGTAGTACACAATATATTCACTAAAGGAATAGATAAAAGGGAACACAAAAATCTCAAAAATGTGGACATATAAATAGGAACAGAAGGGGAAACTTATACTCCTTGAGTATTGTTATACTCAATATCTTTCCAGATTTTTCTTACTTTAACCCCGCCTAGACAAAATTAGGCGCCGAACATCAAACTACCTTCTAGCGGTCTAGTCGATCTAGATCCTAGAGGCCGCCTAGCATGCTTATAAAAGCGCACTATGAACGCATACATTTCATGATTAACAGTGAGCCACATAGTTACCAAATGTAAATGAGCTCGCTTGTGGAGAACGTTCATGGGGAGCCGGCTTATACACAACTGTATGATCATCAGTGCATTCCCACGCCACATGGTCCTTGCTCGTTTGCTCCCTTTTGTTCAACGGCCTTACCCGCACCGTAACCACGATTTTCTCTTCCCTTTCTCTGTGCCCACCTGGAGTGCTAGCCGGAGTCCTTTCTAGCTTTGAAGCTGGTGTGCCTGGAGCTATAGCTGCTGCCATTCTTACGAAGAACTTCTCTAATCAACAAATCTCTGATCTTAGTTCTCTTCTCCTAGCAACAATTTCTCTGCAGGAACTATTGTTTTTCCCCAGTGAAAACACAAATCATTAGAACTCAACCTTTAAAATTCAAAAAAACAGACCAAAGCTACATTTGAAGATGATCTATCCGGCAGATCTGGTCATTGATCATTACAATTTCGTCCGAATTTAGATTCCTAACCCTAATTTTAACCTCCGACTAGATCATTCGGGATGCACGAGCAAATTAAAAGTTCGAAACAATTCTCCATGAACTTGAATTGTTTATGGAAAGTTCACACCAAAAACAACAACAGAAACAAAATTCACCAGAAATGGTAAGAGCAGAACTTCAACAAATTAAAATGTCAAAATGCATCAGGTTATCTGGAACTTACCTTCACAAACAACTTCCCGATTAATTCGGAATCTTAGAGAGAGAGAGAGAGAGATCGGAAATGGAAAGTTATTAAAATGAAATGCGAATTCCTGCAATCCAGCGTTATAGTGACAGTGAGACTTCGAATTTTGAGCAAGGTGCAACGGCTAGTTCTTCTTGTGGCGGGTCATACAGCTCATACGGGTCGCTTTTCCGGGTTCGGGTCATCTTTAACGGTTCGTGTCCGTGAATAAATATAAATTATGTCCCGACAAAAAGAACGGGTTTATGATTTTGTTTACCCATACGCCCTTACAGTTTTGATTATTTACCTGGTGGGCCCGCAAAAGCAAATTAAACGGAGTATCCTCCTAAGTCCTACCCGTTCTAAATATGCGAACTTTTATCTCTTTTTAAATTATTATTTTCTTCATTTCAAATTAAATTATTTGTTTATTATTTATAGAGTCAAGTTGAATTTATTTTCTTTCTTTATTTTTGTTAATCATTTGATAATATAAAAAAATTATGTAACCACTAGTTTTGTAGATTTTTCTGATGTAGTTTTTAAATATGTAATTTGTATTTTTTTTAATTCTAAATCATTTTTCATATTAAATGATTTGAAAATAACTCCAGTCGAATATCATAAACTGAAACAGATGATATAAATTAGGACGGAAGAGTACTTTTTAGACATGGCAAATCGATCGGTCAAGTTGGGTTCGAGTTCGTTAAGAACCAGTGTCATCGAATTCGGGTCGATTGAATTATGAGATTTATTTTTAGAATATTAAAATTCATACTAGTACTTGTATTTTGCATTTTAAAAAATGAAATATCAAAATAAATATATTAATAATTGAATCTAATTAGAGTTCAGATAAATGGAGTTGTTCTACATTAGGTCCCTCTCTCTCTAAGTTAACATTCTCTTTAACACTTGGGCTTCTAATAAGTTTCGTTTGAATATGCATTTTTATTAATCATTGATCAAAAAAATAACCATATCACTGTTTGTTTTGTATAACTTTTGATAGCATTTTGAATGTGTAACTATACTTCTTACTTCCTCCGTCGCAAAAAAATAAGTTCACAGTTTGACTTGGTACAAAGTTTATGGAAAGTGATAAAAATATGTGATTGAAAGTGATGTAAGGAATGAGAGAAAATGATAAGTCATTCAAAATTTTCCATAAAAGTAAAGAGAAGTCTTTTTTAAGACATCCCAAACAAAAAAATAAGAATCCTTTTTTAAGACGCATGGAGTATTTTACTACTTAATTTGTAAATAAAGTTACTAGACATGGCAAAAAAATTGACCCGACCTTTTTTTTATCCGAAAATATTGAATATTGAACAAAGGTATTGTTAACCAAATTCGAAGATGACCGAACTAGAAATGACTCGTTAAAAATGCGTCAAACCGACCAAACTCAAACTAGTTGACCTGCTAACGTAAAAGTTTTTTATGAAAAATAATGTGTTAAAACTAAAGTTATGATTTAATTTTTTCTTATTACTTATTTTAAGTATATACACTTATGTTTTTAAAATAGATTTTAGTGAAATCACATGATTACCTCACATTTTTTAAAAAATGGTAATTTTGTATATTATTCATTATATTGTTAGATATATCTAAAAGAATAATTAAAGTTTCAGTTCGACCCATTATTCAAACTACCATTTGAATTACTGGTAAATCGATCATATTGAGTTTCAGTTCGACCCATTAAAGTTTGAATTACTTCAATTCGAATTAGTTTGGATTCAATTTGGATTTAGAATTGCATGTTCACAATGCTGTTTTAGGGGTGATCAAATCGATCCATCCAATTATGAGCTTAATTTGTTCTTTGTCCCAAATGCAGACAAGGTTTCCTTTTCTTCCCAATCTGGGAATTCATTCCGTCCCCTTTCCATCTGCTATCTCCTTCCCCTTCAGATATAGGTATGTTTATCTGTTTTGGGCGTCGGCCGCCGACGCCAGCCGTGGGCTTCTGGTGGTTCTCGCCGTTTGACTTTTTGTTCTTCCTTTTAAAGCCCAAATTTGCCTGATTTGTTGCCAATTCTATTTGCCAAGATTGTTGCCGATTTTTTAAAATCCAAATTGGCCAAATTTTACCATTCGTTTATTTATCGAATCCAGGTGTTCTTTGTATTCCCTCATTTCGGTAAAATATGTGACTCAAAAATATTACTTTTTTCATTTTTCAACATTTTTTCTTTAGATTCAAATAAAACAAAAAAAAATTAGAATTAAGCTAGAGGTACACCAACATGGGGTACTCCAAGTGTACACCAAAGCCAACACAGAAGTGTCTGTGTGTGTCTGTGTTGTTGGCTTGGTGTACACTTAGGATACCCATGTTAGTGTACCCTAGAATTGCCCCAAAAATTAAGATATGACTTCGTTTCATTTTTTAAACACCTTTTTCAAATTCATTATTTTCAGATTTTAGAATTCATTCCATTTCAACCAAACAGACAGTAAAGTACGAGTAAAAAACCAACGAATTACCAAAAACAAACCATAATTCACAGTACCATACTACCATGAAGCACCGGTAAACTTTGTTGAAATTCCATAATGGATCAAAAAGTCAACAGCCCAAAAAAGTCCAAACATCAAAAATAAAAAAAATAAACAAACAATAAAAAGAAAAAATAGTACCACCCCCCCCTTCATCTTCTTTCTCCTCTGATCCAGAAATTCTTCCGCACCTTCGCTGGAGATTCCTCAAAAGAACATTTCTTTTTCCCTCTTTTTCTCTCACAAGGTAAAAAAAGTTCTTGTTTTTGCATCTTTCAATTTTGTTTCCAAATTGCATGAAATGAATTCAAGTTCACTAAAAATCGTTTCTTTTGTTCTTTTTTTATAACTTCAATCTTGTTGCCCTTCAATGGTGTTGAATAGATTTTCCCAAGATTAAGATTCAAGAGTGAAATGGGTATTTTTGGCATTTTCACGCATGATTATTTAGATGTATATGCAATGGGAATTGATGTTTTGTTTAATTGGTGTGATTATGAAGGCCAAGTGTTTGATATTTGTGTACCTTTGTCCTAGTGATCATACCAGGTAAGAAGGTATGTCGGAGACTCCGACCGAATCAACTGATTTGACAGAGGCTGAGGATGGCACGCCCGTTCGGGAAGTTTGTGCCAATGGGGTGTGCATGCAAACAGCTGATGTCGAAGCAAAGCTCGACGAGGGAAACATTCAAGAAGCCGAATCCGCTTTGCGTGAAGGGCTATCTCTGAGTTTTGAGGTTAGGGTTTTCTGAATCCTGTGTCCTTTGACATTTCCAATGTTCAAAAAATCATTTGGGGAGTCAATTGGTCTAAGGGTGCATAGGCCGATTGTTAGAACATTGGTCCTTTGTATATCTTAGGGCGTGTTTGGTTCGAGTGGAGGAGAGGGTTTGAATGATGCATTTGTTTTTTTAGAATAGAGAAGAGGGGAGGGAAAATTAAAGATCCTCCACCATCCAGACACGTTGAACCAAATGATGGGAGGGGGTGGGAGGGGAGCATTTTCCCTGCCCACCTCTCCAAAAAAACACTCTTAGTGTTAAGGCAATATTACATGGCTAAACTCATTTGATCGCGGCTAGTAATTTCTAAGGTTTTGATATAAGGTCAGTAGATTATGTAGGCGCGCTGTGTCTTTTGTTTGAAAGTTGGTTTTAGCCATTCCATCTCATTTTTGTGTGACTAGTAGTTTTAAGGTTTGCGCGGATGTGTCCTTTGTAGGCTTGGGTTTAATGCCTCTCGCTCACCTTCAATACATATTACTATGATCTACCTAGGGTCTTTGGCTTCCATTTCCCATTGATTCAAACTTGCCAACTATATTAAGTCTTTGCAAAGTACCTAGGGTACAAATAACTACAAAAGCCGGAGGATAGACATATATTTTTTTAAAGTTATTAAAAGGGAAGTTATGTTTGATGGCAACAAATGCAAATATGGATATGGTTTATTGATGTGATCATAGGAAGCACGAGCTCTACTAGGGAGGTTAGAGTACCAGAGAGGAAACGTGGAAGGTGCTCTGCGTGTGTTTGATGGCATTGATCTTCACGCGGCTGTACAGAGAATGCAACCTTCCACAGAGAAACAACAGTCTTCTAAAAAGGGGAAACCAAAGATTGATCCCGGATCAGCTGTCTCGCAGCACGCTGCAAGCATGGTGCTTGAGGCCATCTATTTGAAGGCCAAGTCTCTCCAAAAGCTACAAAGATTTACTGGTATTCACCCTTCCTAGCCATGTCCTCTTCCTATTTGTTTCCTAGTATTATGAATAGTTTTTTATTTACCGGCTATAATATGTTTTTTTGGCACTTTGAGTATAGCCTCTTTTTTCTAGAACGCTGCTAAAATTTTCTTTTGTTATTTATATTTGTTAAACTTTACCACACCATTTTAAAAACTGGCATGGAACTTCAATATGACACTTCCCTATCAACAAACCCAGTAAAGTCCCACAACAGTAGTGTAGGGTAGGATACGGGAAGGTGTGTGTACACATATCTTGCCCCTACTCGGAAGTAGGAAGACGGTTTCCTCATCTTGTTTTAAGCGTTGTTTGGTATTTCATTTTCACATCGTGATTCCTACTTTCTATAACCCATTAGTCATCATTCATCAATGACTGTTAGAGAGGTTAAGGATAAAATTTCTAAACAGAGGTGGTGGATTAGAGTGATGAATACTCCTGTCTCAAAATTATTGTCTTAGTTTGACTTTTGTCGTTACTTTGACAACAAACTGTGAAAAAGTATATTTAGTTATAATGTAAATTTAATATAATTAGGTTTATTTTAAGATGTACTCCCTCCGTCTTTAAATAAACTTCCTTGATTGACTAAGAAAAGTGTTGAAAAGTGAAAAAAGAGTCATTATAATTTGGGATTGTGGGAGTAACAAAACCAATTTTTTATTAGCAGACAACAAAAAATGTTGCTCCGTATATTAACAGTGAGAAAAAGATGTTATAAAAACACCGCAATATATACGGTACATCCGTTTACGAGTAACTGAATAATCATTTTCGAACAACTAAATACTCATTTTTGAGTAATTGAATACTCAATTCTCTAAAATTCAGTTATGTTCGACAGTGAGTATTCAGTTACTCGAAAATGGATATCCATGCCGGTGTACGGGAAACACCGTACATCCGGATGTATGGTATAGGTACAGCTTTTAATTATTTATTCATATTTCTAATTTTATAATTTACAGAACTTTGTTTGGGTGGGATTTTGTAGAGGCTGGCAATGAGTGTCAAAGCATACTGGATGCAGTGGAGAAAATATTCTCTACCGGTATCCCTGACGTCTTAGTAGAGACTAAGCTTCAAGAAATAGTTAGCCACGCCGTTGAGCTCCTCCCAGAGCTGCGGAAACAAGCCGGGGCCTACCCTGAGGCCATGTCCGCTTACCGGCGAGCCCTCCTAAGCCAATGGAACCTAGACAACGAATGCTGCGCCAGGATTCAGAAAGCCTTTGCCGTTTTCCTTCTATACAGCGGAGTCGAGGCGGGCCCGCCGAGCCTGTTCGTCCAAATCGACGGCTCCTACGTCCCCAGGAACAACCTGGAAGAGGCCATTCTTCTCCTGATGATCCTCATGCGCAAGTTTTACCTCGGGAAGGCGACGTGGGACCCATCCGTTCTCGACCACCTTACTTTCGCTCTCTCCGTGTGTTCCCAGACGTCCGTTCTGGCAAAGCAGCTCGAAGAGGTCATGCCGGGTACCCTTAACCGGGTCGAGAGGTGGAAGACGTTGGCCCTCTGCTACAGTGGCGCATCCCAAAACGGAACGGCTATGGACCTACTGAGGAAATCGTTGCATCCGAACGAGGACCCGGACGATGTCATGTCCTTATTGTTGGCTGCCAAGGTCTGTAGCGAAGAAGACACTCACCTCGCTTCCGAGGGGGTGACCTACGCGCGTAGGGCTATATCCATATCTATATCTAGTAATTCTGAAGACCTAAAAGGTGTGGGTCTTTGGATGTTAGGGCGCTGTTTGGCAAACCAAGCGAAAACCTCTTCTTCGGATTCGGAGAGATCCCGCCTCCAGTCCGAAGCTCTCAAATCGCTGGAATCCGCCATTGCGACGGAGAGGGAAAATGCCAACCTGATGTTCGAGCTCGGGGTTCAATACGCGGAGCACCGGAATTTGAACGTCGCGTTGCGGTACGCCAAACAGTACCTTGACGCGACGGGGGGATCGGCGATCAGAGGGTGGAGATTTCTGGCGTTGGTTCTTTCCGCGCAGCAGCGGTATTCGGAGGCGGAGGTGGTGGTCGATGCGGCTCTGGACGAGACATCGAAGTGGGACCAAGGGCCGCTTCTCCGACTGAAGGCCAAGCTGAAGACTAGCCAGTCGCTTCACACAAGCGCCATTGAGACTTACCGTTGCCTTCTTGCGCTTGTCCAGGCTCAAAAGAAATCTTATGGCCCCCTACGGATTGCACCTCAGGTATGAGTATGACCCACCCGTTGCTTTATTTTATTTTACTGGAGGGGTTCCGTCGCAAACGGTGCCACTACGGTGCCATTGAGGGCTTCGGTGCTGCGTTTGCAAAATTGATGGTTTTTACCTCTAATAGCCAGAAAATCACCCAACTTTGGAGTCAATTTTTTTACCATAAAGTCAACTAAACTTGGGGAGTCCAATTGACGGGGTGGGGGTGGGTTCGAACTGGGGTCGCGGGGTTACCGGGTTGTTAGGCGGATAGATACCATCAATTTTGCAAACAGAACACCGGAGGAGTTACAAAAAGCCAGTGTCACTAAAGTGCACCGTTGCCGAGCAGCAACGGAACCAATCTGTTATTGAATTGGGACGAAGAGAGAAATATGAAGCAAAGTTGTAGGAAATAAAGAAGTATGAGAGGAGAGAAAACGATGTATATCTATTGAATTTGGCAACTCTTCGGTCTTGACAATCCATTGATTTTTTTTCCCTCTTTTAAGCAGGCGGAGGAAGCTAATGTGAATGAATACGAGGTTTGGCATGGTCTTGCGAATCTTTATTGTAGCCTTTCGCGCTGGCAAGATGCGGAGATATGCTTGGGAAAAGCCAGAGCTCTCGTCGAGTACTCCCCCGAGACTCTTCATATAGAAGGCAAGTTGTTGTTTATGTGTGACAACGTGTCGTGACAATAAGACCTCAACATATGATTTTCGTTGTTATAATATATATTCTCTTCGTTCCGTAAAAATAGTACTTCTAATGTCCCACAAAATTTATCTCATTTTCTTTTTTTCGTCTATCCGAAATAATGTCTCATTTCTTAACATGGAAAAGAACATATGATATACTCCCTCCGTCCCATAAAGATTGGGACGGTTTGACTAAAGTGGTAAAATAAGGAGGGATAATTTTGTGTTGACTTTCCAAAAATACCCTTGATGTGATGGGTAAAAGTAGGATGTGATGGGTAGATTATTAGGAAAAAGGTATGATGTGATTGATAGGGTATGAAAAAGTAAGGGGTAAGAGTGATTTTTTAATAGAAATGGGACGGACTTTACGGGACACAAATTTTTCAAAACTGGACTAACTTTATGGGACGGAGGGAGTATGATTCACAATTTATCTTTCTCCTCTGCATAAATTCATCTTCAACTTTTTTGAAGAGGAATCTGATCTTTTTTTTATTCTTTTTTCCTTTTTTTTCCTCTGGTTTTTCTTTGAATAATGAATGAATGGTGTGTGTAGGTGTGATGCACGAAAGGAGGGGAGAAACCAGCAAAGCCATGGCTGCATATATAAACGCTCTCTTATTAGAACCAAACTATGTGCCATGCAAGATCTTGCTCTGTGCTTTGGTCACAAAGATGGGCCCCAAGATGCAGCCCGTGGCCCGAACCCTGCTCTCGGACGCCCTGCGGCTCGACCCGACGAACCGGATTGCGTGGCACTACATGGGCTGCGTCCACCGGAACGATGGCCGGATTGCAGACGCCGCCGACTGTTTCCAGGCGGCTTCGATGCTCGAGGAGTCGGATCCCATCGAGAGCTTCGCTTCTCTTCTTTGAAACTGCCCCGCCGCGACGAGAGGGGCATATTTGTCATTGTCGTTGGCGGTGGAAAAAATATTCACTCGAACGATTGTCACAATGCAGTAAGGTCTGGGAGAGTGTGTGTACGTAGACCGTTTCCTTACTTGGGAAGTAGAGAAAATATTTACTTGAGAATTGGATTAAATTGTTCATTCTTTCATTCTTTATTTAATTAATGTTAGACTTATGTATACTGTCACACGGAAATATTTTGCCAATGTGTACAATATTATGCTGAATCCATAACCAGCTGAGCTTCAAGTGAATACAAAGTACAGGAAATTTTGAGTTTTTTTGTTATGTTTTAGGGGGTTAATGTTTTTATTTACTGCACAAGTTTTTTGAGTGAATGGAATAACATATACTCCCACCTCTCAGAATATTCGTCCAGTTTGACTTTTTTCGAGTCAAACTGAATAAACTTTAATCATCAATTGCTCTCAATTTATATTGCACATTTAATATAATGGAATAAATTTTTGAAAGTTCTAACCAAATAAAATATATTAAAATCATTTTTATACTAAGTTACATCATAGTTTTTACTTAATTAATGTTCAAAATTTCTCTACTTTAACTCGAAAAGGTCAAACTGAACAAATACTTTGGAATGGAGGTAGTGTTTGAGTTTAGTTCATAGTGATAGGGGTGTTTGGTGCATGACTGTACGAGTATCATGTGAATTTAATACTTTGTTCATTGGAAATGTTTTTTTCTTTTATTTCCATTCCAAAATATTTGTCACATTACATAAAATAAAGTAAAATTTTAAATTTTTTCAAATTCATTTTATTTAAATATTGATATACAAGAAAAAATAGCTTACATATTTAAAAACTACATAAAAAATTTTATAACAAGATGTGACAAAAATATTTTATTTTATTAAATAATTGATGAAAATTTACAAATAAACAAAGGTTTTTATGATCTTGATAGGGGTGGGCAAAAAAACAGAACTAGCATGGTATCATACCGGACCGTAATAGTACCGAACCGTTTATAGTGTTTTCAGATTTTTTTATCACGACCTGAAACCGAACCAATACCAAATGGGACGGGACCGTGATACAATAATTTAAAACCGATTATCACGGACCGAACCGTCTAACGCTATATACGGAGTACGTATCTCAAATAATTATGGAGTCTTTGTCTACTTCATCTTACCGTGTATAGAGTACATCGTATTTTATTATTCATTTTTGAACTCTCTCATTATGATTGTTATTATATTTATTATTACTATTCGCATTATTTTTTTATAGTTATTAGTATTCCGACATTATATGAATTGGAAAAAAAATTATTTTTTAACTTTGGACTCGTTATCTTTTATTCTTTATGTTTATGATCCGTTTAAATTTAAGATCAATACTTTTATTTAACATTGATCTTGTGCTTTTTTATAAAAATTTATACATTAAATTCAATATTCTTTAAGTAATGTACGTTCATTTTTTTGGCACGGTTTGAGCATGGGTATGGTATTGTACCGTTCCGTTTCAAAACGGAATGGTACCGAATGGTCTTGGAGTTCATCCCGTACCGATACCGAACCGTTTAAATAATAGCGGTCTGTGATAGGTTCCGGTAATATCACGGACCGTACCCACCCCTAGATCTTGAAGTAGTCAACTATGACATTCTTTTTTAGATGAATGAAGTATAACAAGCGAGATCTTTAGTTTTACTGATTTTTGTATTATTGCTCTACTAAGTCTAAAGTACAAAAAGTTACCTCTATAGTAGTTCATTTTTAAATTTTATTGTTTAAAGTTAATTGTTCTTTTTTCATATCCAATAAAATAATTATACTCCGTAATAAATTAGAATATTAGCATTGAGGACATTATGACATTTTGAACTCATTTCATAAATATACTTTTTTTATCTCTAAAATGTGAACGTGAAGAATTAAAATTGATAATTTACAAAAATCTATTAAAAAAAAAGGATTAACCTCATCCTATTCCTAAGTCTTGTTGACTTGTTCAAATGCGCATTTCCTTGTGATCTTCTAAGGTAATTTTGTCTTCTGCTTCATTCTTGTCCAATGTATTCTATTTTTACAGCATTAAAAAATTATCCAAAGTGCGTGCGTAATTTATTTATTTTTTTCCCTTCTTCTCCAATGCACTTATTTTAGTAGTTGTGGTAGATTTTTCATCTCAAGAACAGGAGAACAAATCACTGTTTAAATTTGTTAAGTTGTTTGAAGTGTTGGACTTTTCAAGAATCCAGAATCTCCATTGCAGATAACCTGTTTGTCGAAATTCCCCATAGAATAATACCTTAACATAGAACAGAACATTACATAGTGTGTGTTGAAGCCTGCTACTTTGTCCCAATAATTTAGTTATTATCTTTCTCCCTATTTTTAGCTCCATTGCCAATGGAGCTAAAAGAGGCATAGGCCTTGTTTGGGAACAACTTTTTTGGTCAGCGTTAGCATTTTGGATAAAATTTTAATGGTGTAGATTAATTCGGAGAATGCTAATGCTAGAGGCTACCGTCGGATGACTTTTTCAAAACGCTAATGCTGATATGCCAAACGGGACCATAATCTCTCTCTCTCTCAAAGTGGTTAGATATTCATTTTTTTCATGACATTGAGAATTCGTAGCCGCTACCTGAAAATGCTCATTGGGGAACCCTGTCTTGGGATCCAATCCGTCAAACAAAACTAATTTCGACAAAATATCTTTGTAGTACACAAAAAAAAAAACTGCACTTTTCGATAGGTTTATGGGGTTTGTGGAAAAATTAGGACTTATGAGGAAAGAATATATAAGCTATGAAAAAAGCCCTTTAATTGTGATCATTACATGTGGAACATGTGCATTTTGTATTACAATTTGATTTCAATTTGTGTATATTTCAAAGTATTATACTATCATCCCCAGTTCTTGACTTGGCACCATAATGCTATGTATTAAGTGTAACTTTTGATGTTTTTCTTAAGTTTTATATAGATCAGGCAGAGTAAAAGACCCTATAAGCTAAATGTTGCTCCGCCATTGTTGGCGTTCCATCGCCCCCGACATTCATTCATTCAATACTAGGTTTGTCGGACAACCCTTTCACCCAGGCACTCAAAGTGAGCTCATTGACTTATTCGGCAACCTTCTGCAGCAATTCAGTGCCTGTGTCGAGCATATCAAACAGATCCACTCCACAATCATAGCTACCGGTTCTTCCAGCTCGGGCTTCTTGGTTGCCCGGCTCATTTCCTCTTATTCCCACTTTGGGCTTATCAATGTGGCACGTGAAGTATTTGAAACCTCCCCAGTTGAGTGCTTTTCAAATATGCTTGTTTGGAACTCGATATTGAGGGCAAACGTTAGCCGCGGGGAATGCTTAGAAGCCATAAATATATATGCCAAAATGCGTGGTTTAGGGGTTAGGCCCGACTCCTTTGGGTTTCCATTGATTGTGAGGGCATCTGTGTTACTGGATGATCATAGTCTGTGCAAGCTTGTTCATTGCCACATAATACAAATGGGTTTTGAGAACCACCTTCATACTGCAAATGAATTGTTAAACATGTACGGAAAGATTGGGAGAATGGATAGTGCACGTGCATTGTTTGATAGAATGTATGCAAGAACCCAACTTTCTTGGAATACTATCGTTTCAGGGTATTCCCGTAATTTTGACTGCAACAGTGCACTTCAGATGTTTTTGCGGATGCAATGGGAAGGGTGGCAGCCGAATGCAGTAACCTGGACATCATTGTTGTCGAGTTTCTCTAAATGCAGGCGTCATGAAGATGTATGGCAGTGGTACATCCAAATGAGAAGGATAGGAGTTGATATTACAGCTGAAGCACTTTCTGTTGTTATATCAGACTTTGCTAACACGAACACAATTGACAGGCTGGGCAAAACGGTACAAGTATATGCCATAAAAGGTGGTTTTGACAACCATTCAATCGTGACGAATTCTCTAATAAATTTTTATGGGAAAAATGGTGATGTCAAAGCAGCTGAGTGTCTATTCTCTGGTCTGCATTCTAAGAGCATAGTCAGCTGGAATTCTTTATTGTCTTCTTATGCCGAATCTGGTTTATGTGACGAGGCATTTTCCGCATTTTCTCAATTAGAAAAGTCGGGGGAGCATTCCCCGGTCAGACCTAATGTCGTAAGTTGGAGCATAGTTATTGGGGCATTTGCTGCCAAGGGACGACATGAGGAATCCTTAGAATTATTCAGGAGAATGCAGTTTTCTGGAGTGCTGGCCAATGGTATTACCATTTCAAGTGTTCTATCAGTTTGCGCTGACATATCCGGGCTGTGCCTTGGCAGAGAAATCCATGGTTTTGTCATTAAGGTCCCGAAAAAAGACGTAAATATATTGGTACAAAACGGACTGGTTAACATGTATATGAAATGTGGCAGTTTGAAGGATGGGAACACAGTGTTTGACAGAATGGAAAAGAAAGATCTATTCTCATGGAACATTTTAATTTCTGGGTACGGAATGCACGGTCAATGCGAACTTGCTCTTGAAACCTTTGATCGGATGATCAAGGCTGGTTTTAAACCGGACAAGGTTTCTATGGTGGCAGTTCTTTCAGCATGTGGTCACGCAGGGGCAGTAAGCCAAGGCCATGAAATCTTCAACCAAATGAGGACAAGGTTTGGGATTGAGCCAGAGGTGGAGCATTATGCCTGTGTGGTGGATCTGCTGGGCCGTGCTGGGTTGCTCCAAGAGGCTAATGACATGGTGCAAGAGATGCCGGTGAAACCCAATGCCTGTGTTTGGGGTGCGCTGTTGAACGCCGGCAGGATGCATAAACACGCGCAGGTTGCAGAAATGGCCGCTGCGCAGCTTCTGAGTCTTGATTCTGAGACGACTGGGAGCTTCATGTTGATCTGCAACTTGTATGCTGGCTGCAGCAGATGGGGTGACTCTGCAAATGCCCGACTTTCAGCGAAAACAAGGGGGTTTAAGAAATCTCCAGGGCAAAGTTGGGTCGAGGTGAAGAAGAAAGTGTATGTGTTCTCATCTGGGAAATCGATGCAAACGGAGATGGAAGAAGAAATGCATTGGATGCTTCATGTTTTGATGTATGATATGGGAAAAGTGGATTACATGCTCCAAATGCACTTAGCTTCACAAGATGTGGAGGAACAATTGTGAACTACGACAACCCGAAATAATCTCAACTCCGTTCGGGTTTGGTGGGGGTGGGGTGTGGGGTGGGGGGGGGGNGATGCAGTTTCAGAGGAATCTCAAGGTACCTTTTCTCTCATCTCTTACTCTAACTCAACTCATACGTGCAATTCGTTTGTGCTTACTAGCCTAAAACATGTTGCTAGATTTTTTTTATCACAACCTAATTTTATTTATTTAATTTATCAAATTAATATTTTATTAATATATATTTCCTATGATATAAAAATTTGATGATTAAGGATATACTCCTTCCGTTCTCAAAAAGGGTTCATAGTTTGACCAAGTGTAAAAATAAGGAAGTGTTAAATTGTAGTTGACTTCCAATTTTGCCCTTGATGTGATGAGTAAAAATAAAATGTGATGGATAGATTATTAGAGAAAAAGTATGATGTCATTAGTAGGATGTGAAAAAGTAAAGGTAAAAGTGATTTTTTAACAGAAAGTGGAGATGTTTTGTTGGAAATAGAAAAAGTGAAAGAAGAAATGCTTTTGAGAACGGAGGGAGTACTAATAAATCCAATCAAACATGAGTAATCAATTTGAGTACATGAATATGTGCTAAATACTTACACTACAAACCCTAAGACACTTCTGAACTTTCTTTGCATAGGCATATCAGACCCTTATGTGCTTCTTGTGTCTCTGTTTTATTGTGTTCTTGCTACCGTGTTTACTTGCATCTGTGTTTGAGTCAGGGGTCTCTTGGAAATAGTCTCTTTTTGTGAAATTTTACTGGGTTTGTTGTTGTTGTTGCTGCAGTGTCACACCCTTTCTCGTGTCATTTCTTTAAGTTCCATCCTTTATTCTTCTTTCATAACGGAATGAGCTGATGCAAAAAATACCAATTCTAGCGAATGCGAATACATTATTTTACTTGCTCTCTAGCTGCTCAAGTCTTCTACTTTTGGCCTAGTTTTTCTCTATTTCGGTTTGTATTCAATTGGGTATATTAATGTGGATTTCTTTAACGAGTATTGCCATTTTTAGGTGGTGATTGTACTTTCTGAAAGCTCCTCTGGTTGTCTATACTTGCAGGGTATTGAGGAGCATTGCCTTAGACTTGCAGGGCCCAGCACCAGCTTCACCGGTTTAACTATTGGACCTGGCCCATGGGAGAGAATTCAGAGCCCAAGATCGTAAGCCCAGTTTTATGGAGGTCGTCGGCCATGAGGCCCAGGAGGCCTGGGGTAGTCTATAATAGTCGGGCTCAACATGTTTTGGATTCAGAGCCCACGAATTCGTTTTGGTACTAAAACTATTGTACATTTACTAATAGGGACGGCCTAAAATGAAATACTAGACAAATATATTGTAGGAGAAAGAGTATATATGGAACAAATCAGATCCTATTCCTTGCAATCTTTTCTGCTTCAGCCAAGGTCAAATGCCTAATCCCATTCTCCTTCAATGAAGCCTCCCCTCCTTTCAAACAGATCTGGTGTTGTTTCTTTGTCATCTTGAGCAACTTTAGAGCTTCACTTAGTTTGGGGAAGAAGCCCTCAGGTCTAAAACACCATTGCCTGAACACACCAAACATGACTCCCAAATCATACCCAAGCCTCTCCACTCCCCTGCCGCCAGAAAACTTGGCGCTGCCCCCAAAGATTCCGGCAAACATCAAGGCGTCAATCTTGGACGCGAGGCTTCTCCACGCCGCGACGAAATCTACACTGTTCAGACCCAGGGCCAAAACTGACATTTTCCCCTGAAGATAATCCAGCGCGTTGACGAGAGATTGGGAGACTACTTCTACATGCCCACCTCCTTCTTCATCTTCCCTTTCTTGCCATTGTTTCTTGTTCTTCATATAGTCTCGGCAGCACATGTCGAATCCCCTCAAGACAACAGTTGACAGCTTCTCAGCCCATTCTGTTCTGAACTCTTCCAGTTTCTTTATTTCGCAATGAAAGATTCCAGTTCCAGGTGATTCCTCCTCCTCCTCTTGGTTGGTACGATTTTCGAATTGATCTGCGCGGTCAAATCTCATCTCCAGAAAGAAAACATCCTCACACCACTCTTTTAGAACGGTCTCAAAGTGGCGAGAACCATTGATGCACCTGGCAACTTTAGTCAAAGCGCTGTCATCTGTCAGTGCCGTTAGCCCTTCAGCTTCTTGGGACCTGAGGAGTATGGAATCAATAAATTTGTTTATCAGTGGTGCTCCTGCCAGTTGCAAAAACCTTGATCTCAAGGGGACCGTTGGAAGTGACCGGCAACGATCAATGACTGCTGATAAGCGCCGGAGAAAGGAACTGGTAATTGCAGGTGACTTGGCATCGCCTTGCCCTGATAGAAGATCAGTTCCTTGAACTGAATTTGACCAGTTTCTTTCGTCGATGATGTCGGGCTTTAACTTATCGAGTGAGTCATCATGTTCGATTTTTGCCCACAGATCAAGCCAATCTGGTCTGTCATTAAATACAGAAAGCGAAGAAACCTTCTCTAATCCATCTTCCTGCAAAGAAAGTGAGATTCCTGAGTGTGAAACAAGGGACTGCACCTTCTTATCAAATCCTATCATCAGGTCAATGAGAAATAGCCAGGATGCTCTACCGTGTGATTCAGTTCCAGTTGTGCCATCTTCATCCGACAGACTAGAAGTATATTGTGGGAACACTTCTTTTGCCAAATAGATGCATAATGAGGATACCATTGACGCAATCCACTCTTCTCTGCAACTATAACCAGAGAGCATGGCTTCATCAACCAGTGGTTGCAACAATTCATCCATAGAATCAACATAATCTTGAGTGACCTTATACACAAGCGCAAAGATAAGTTCTGGCTGATCGGTCCATTTTGAGAAATGTTTTTGACAAGCAACTGATATAGGATTGACGAGCTCCTCAATGGTCCAGAGTGACTGGTGTATAGCTACGTGCTTACCAGTCCCCTCTAATTGGCGAGATTTTCTCTGTCTCTGCAATTCCTGTAAACTGCATAGTGTGAGGAAGCTTTCACAATATTTTCCCTTGAGCTCCCCTTGCATTGTGAGAAGTGGATTATGGACAGTTATCGACTTCTTCGTTTCTTGGCCAGAGCTTTTCAAAGTGGATAGAGGTGGTGGCCATCCAAGAGAAGCAAGAAGGGAACGGTGATCTGCAATTGCCTGAGGCCTTAACATGGCTAAAGCTCGATCCACTCTATGATCAACAGCTGCTACAAGTTTTTGCCACCGAGGATGGGTCTTTGAAATCAATCTTAGAGTGTCTTCTGTTAGTTTAAGGCTCGTGATTGCAACAGCTTGCATGTCCTGAAAATAAAAATAAAAATGAATAAGTAAGAAAAAACGAAATAAACATAGATATTTTGAAAATGTTTGTGTTTGTATATAACTCCACATGAATGTGACTCACTTCTGAACTTTTCGAGGATGGATGTCTCTTCAATGTTCTTTTAACAGTTGCAGACACAGCATCCTCAATTTCACCAACCAATGTGTCAAGCTTTAAAGCAGTCTCTGAAATATGTAATTCCAATGGCGAGGATGAGAAACTCCGACAAAATCAAAGTGTACTTAAGAACAACAAACGCTTCAAACTGATGTTTTTTTCTCCAAAGAATGATCAAAAGTGGCATGGCATGTCAGGAAGTTGAAATGAAATAGAAGCCAACATAGCAGAATAAGTTATGAAGGAACACAGTGAAATGTTTTCTCAAAATCATCACAGAAAGTTCAACAGTTTACAGCATTTAGAAATACTATAGAATAGTCACTTCACCATTGCATCTTGTGTTTTTCTTCAAGAATTGGAACTTTTCTTATAATGTTTTTTCTTGCCAATACCATGCACAATCTGTTTCTATTGGCACTATACTACTCCTCAATATTTCATTTTACACATTTCGAACACACATGCACAAAGTTATAACTTGCATTTGAAAGGGGAAACGAGCAAAGAACTCACTTGCATACTTCTGCACTGTTTCTACTCTCGCCACCTCCTTCGCCAATGCTGGTAATTCCTCCCCCCAAATCTTACCCGGATCTCCATCTGTATATTATTTTAAAATAGAACCAAAATCTTACTCTACTCAACACAATTCCTCAATTCCAAAATTATACACTATTCATATTTCAAACACTCTCATTTGACCTTTTTTTTATGAATGTAGTCATGTGGGATCTTGTTAAATTCATCTCGATAACAAGTTTCATAACAGGAGTTTCAATCTTTTTTCTACATTGTACTACAAGAATGTAGAAAAGATTAATGATTTAATTTGTGAATTGAAAAACGTTAAAAAAGCAAGTGTTGCTATTGTTTTGGAATTGTGAAGTAAAATTCAGCGTACAATTCAATGAAAATGTGAACAATTCATCTGAAGGAGGAGTAATTCCAGCGCATTTACCGGATGAAGAAGTTGCAGTACGAGAGGAAGAAGACTGGAGATCCTTCAATCTGTGATTAATGTCATCGAGGATACCATTGATCTGTCCCGATTGTGAAGAGTAGTCGAACAGATAGGTCTCAAGCTGCTTGTTCAGATCCGAGAGGCTTCGGTCGAGATCATCACACTGATTCCGGAGCTCCGACAGAAGATCCGGAGCCCGTTCAAGGTCTTCTACCGTGCTGAGCTTCGCATTGAGAAAGGAGATGACTGAGGGAGAAAGCGATGCGGCTGGTGGCAGCATCCGAATCGCCGAATCAATGGGCGAAGGGGTCTGGCCATCTCTCATGCTGTAGAAGTGAGTTCACTGAATAGAGGCGAATAGCGCGTGGACTTGTCGAGATGGAGACTTTGGACGCACGAAGAAGACGACGGGAATGCACGCGCCGCAGCCGAAGGATCGGGAGCAGAAAAGCCGGGAAGACGGTGGGGCACCTAAGGGCGATGACCATATGGGCGTGGGAAGAGCAATCCTAAAATTTTTATTTTTTTATTTCTATATCACTAATATCACACCCGTGCAAGTCATTTTTATGTTATTAAATTCAAATCATTTTTCAATAATAATAAATGCGATGCAATAGAATATAGAGATTATATTATTTTAAGGTAAAAAACATCATTACTTTACAAATTTTGAAAGGCCTCTGTATAGACTACATTATTTGTACAATTTGTGGGTATATTGTCTTCATTGCATTTTAGAATCTTCAAGCCACTACGATTAGTTACTCTTGAAACTGCAATATAGAGTTGTCCATGACTAAACACAGGTTTCCATAACAATAATCCAACATGTTTCAAAGATTGTCTCTAGCTCTTGTTAATTGTCATTGCGTACGAAGTAATCACAGAGAACTGTCTTCTTTGAAACTTGAATGAAATTCTTGTATCGGATAGTGTTAATGATATTCTTACCATAATTATATTATACTATAATCATTGATTCCAATTTCTAATTTCCTAGCCACACGGTTATACATAATTAATTATTTCCAATTTTCAATTTCAAACCGTTGATTCCAATTTTAATAAAAATTTACGCGTTCCAGTTTTATAACTTACCTAGTCACACGGTTATACAATCAATACGTTGGTTAATTATTACATTTTTTAATTATATCCAATTTTAATAACGTAATAATAATAACACTTTTAAACATATATTTTGGATTTTTGGATATTACCTTTTTTTAATTATTTCCAATTTCAAATCATTGACACCAATTTTAATAAAAATTTACGCTTTCCAATAAAGTAACTTACCTTTTTTGCTAGAATAATTTCAGACATTTTAAAAATGACAGTTAATTATTCTTACCATAATTTCGGACGCTTTCCAATCAGTATTCATAATAACGTTGGTTAATTATTTCTATATAATACGTTGATTCCTTTTTTTATTTAAAACTTACGCTTTGCAATTTTATAACTTACCTTTTTTAATTATTTCCAATTTCAATACGTTGATTCCAATTTTAATAAAATAAAATTGTATTAACTTCAATACGTTAATTATTATAAAAATAATAATTATTTTAACTTCACGTTTATCATTTTATATTACTATAATTTTGGAAACTTACCATTTGATTTCACAATTGCCATATGTAATGGTCATACTTCGTGCACGGGTTAAAAATAGACCTTATAATTTCGGACACTTATCGTTTATATAGGTAATACCTAAACGGAGTAATAATTATTACATTTTTTGGTTATTTCCTTTCTTGCTATTAATCATATATATATATATATATATATATATATATATATATATATATATATATATATATAAAGGGTTTTTTTGAAACTGTGTGAATAATTATTCTTACCATAATTAAATTATAATATAATCATACACACGTTTTTAATAGCTTTGATTGGTGTGTTTTAAATGTTATAAATATTTTTTATAACCTACCTTTCTTGCTAGTATAAATTTCGTACACTTTAAAAATAACAGTTAATTATTATAGATATAGTATAATAATTATACTTATAAAACGTAAATTTTATATTACTATAATTTCGGACACTTACCATTTTAACTTCACATTATCATATGTAATGACTATATTTTTTGGGCGGGAAAACGCAATATTGAGTCCATGTCTTTTTAAATAAAGTATGGATATGGACGTGGGATCACAAATTATAGTTTTGATATACTCCTCCGTCCCAAAATATTTGGCATGCTTTTTCATAAGTCGTAGAAACTTTTGTTTACTTATATGTTTTCATAGGTTATTTGATAAAATAAAATATTCTTGACACGTTTTATTTCGAAGAAACATTTTATGTGATTTTTTTATATGTAAATTTTAGTTTTTATTCCTATACCAATATGTAAATAAAATGAATTGAAAAAACTTGATATTTTATCTCGAGAATACAAGTGTGACAAATGTTCAGAGACGGAGGGAGTACTTCATACCAAATTTTAATTATATTTATTTGTTTATGTCACTATCTCACTGTTTCACTAAAAAAAAGTCAAAACATACGAGGGAGTAGAATGATTCCCCGACTAGATGATCTAGAATGGAAATTGAAAGATTCGATCTATAATCAAGTAACCAAGACTATTCAAACCAAATCGAAACCAAACTAATTCTTATCTGATTTAAGCCAGAAATCGATTCGATCCAATTGATTAAATCTGAAACTGATAAAATGTGAAGTCGATTATATCCGAAATAGATTCTGCCTGACATTAAATATATTACTCCCTCCGTCCCAAAATATTTGCAACATTTGTTTTTTCAGCAGTCGCAGGAACTTTTGTTTATTTCTACATTTTCATTGGTTATTTGATAAAATAAAATATTCTTGACATCTCTTATTTCGAAGAACTTTTCATGTAGTTTTTGATATGTAAATTTTATTTTTTATTTCTATACCAATATGTAAATAAAATGAATTGAAAAAGTTTAATATTTTACATCGAAAATACAAGTGTGGCAAATATTTAGGGACGGGAGAGTATATTTATGTAGGTATACATTAGTAAACAATTATTCTAACGTCCCATGTGATTTCAAAGTTTTGGTTTGTTGTACTAATTGAACTAGTTATATACTTATATTACTTACTATTTCTTAGATTCCAAAACGAATTATCATATCCAAACAAAATGCAAAGTTTCATGTCTTATAAATTTATTTTGTTTACAAATTAGTATAAAAATAAAAAAACAACTTACATAACAAATATTATCTCAAAGTTTATACAAACAAAAGTACGATTAAAAAAGGTAATTCTTCAACCCCTTCTTAGACAAAAGTACTGTGGTTGGCCAATCGTTTGATATGAATTATATTTAATTTAATAATTTACCTAAATAGTAGGAACAAAATATTTTTATATATAGTTGTGATAAAATAAAATTTTATTAAAATTAAAAAATTCTATCAATTATAAATATGGATTCATGAATTCAAAATAATTAATTATCATTTTTGAAAACATAAAAAAAATGAAATTATTGAAGAGGGAAGGAGAAGGAAATAATATACTAAAAAAGAAAGTACATCTATAAACAATATTTTTAAATATTTTTTCATAATCTGTGATCAATATTTAAAAATATATTTGATCACAAAAATAAAAATAAAAGGAAAAAATAAGATAGGGAGAGTATAATTTTATAGAGTATGAGCCGGGAGAATAGAGAACATGATATTGCTATTTGCTACGTAGCATTTGTGGTCGGTGAGGGCCAGGTGACCGGTTGATATATAGACATCTCTTCATTCAATCACTAGTACTCTGACCCGTGCCACGCACGGGGTTGAATGAATTACTCCCTCCGTCTCCTAAGATGTTCTCATTTTGACTTTTGGTGATTTTTAAGGAGAGTTGAAAAAGGGTGAAGATTTACCATAATACCCTTAATGAAAATGGGTGGAGTGTATTAAATGAGGTGGGTGAGGTGTAATAAATAAAGTAAGTGGGGGTAGTTGTGGGATTTTAATTGTTAAAAAATGAAATGAGAAGATCTATTGTGGACAAAGAAAAAAGGCTATTGGGAAGATCTATGAGGGACGGAGGGAGTATTTGTTGATTATAAATTTATTTTCAGGAAAGTATATGTTTCACACGATTTTTAATACTAAAGACAATATCGCCAAAGTAGAATTAGTAATATTTGAAGAATTGAAAATGTACATGACAGAATTTTTATTTAATCCAAATTTTTTAAAAAATTCAAGGTATAAAACTTTTGTGGCATGACTGTTTCATTGCCATTTAGAACAATTGTTTTTAATCCTGAGTTTGTCTTCACTTCTGAAATAACAACATAAATGACTATGAATAAATACCGACTTAGTTAAAAATAATCTAACAAAATTATATGTTTGACATTGACTTTTGTTAATAGTCATAGTAAAACATAAAACTATTGAAAATTATCTTCTGTGGAACTTCAGTGGTAGCCGCCATAGATCAAATGGTACCAACTTCATTCGGGCTATGTAAATCTTTTCCCCAATTCAATTTCTCAAAATCACAATGTAACACCCTAATCCGTCCAGGTCTGCAGCCCCTTTCGGACTAAAGTATTAACTTGGTAATCGTAAAATTTAAAACATTTCAAACACTTTTATTTATCATAATAATATTTTTCATATCATAAACAATACAGAGTTTTCAATATTGCGGAAGCTTAACAAATCATAACCACAAACATAATTTATTTATATTCTTTAATTTAAAACCATCACATCCATTCCGACTATCTCGCCTCCGTCTGCCTTCAGGATCACGTCACATCATTCTATAGACCTGCGTGTAGCAAATAAAACACACTACACGCTCAGCGGTAAAGCTGAGTAAGCATATCTAATGCGTCGAACATCCACATAAATTGAATCTCAATTCATAATCAACCATTTGATATCATGCACATAATGTTCAGTTCAGATATTCAATAATCAATATTCAATTTTCAACATTCATTATTCAATCATCCAACATGTATATTCATCATTTNACCCTTAAATGAATTCTAGTTTAACTAATTAAACTATATTCCAGTATACAGAGTACTCCTAATAATCCTTAAGCTAGGCCTAGTTTAAGATAAAAGGGTTTTGGAAATCTTAAACTTACCTTCACTTAAGGCCAACCAAAAACCGACAGCGTAGTGTTCACTGTTGGGTGGGTGGTACCCCCAAACGAGTAGGTACTCAAGTTTGGTTCTTGGATCCCGTACGTACGTTTTAACCCTAGCCACCGGGCATCATACCCGCAAGGCCTAACTTATATAGGTATATCTTAGAGTTCTTCTAGATACCTTTCAAATCAACATTAATATGGGTATATCTTAGAGGTCTTCTAGATACCATTGACAATACATATTATTTTCACAATCATCTATATATCCATTATGATTTAATCATTCATAATTACCATTTTTAATCAAACATTTATCAAGATTTAATCACCATAATCATCAATCAATAATCATTACCATAATCATCAATCAACATAATATTCAATAACAATTAGCGGCCTAGTCTCGAGTGTTAACACCCGAACTTACCGTCATGCATCACATAACATATTAGGATTAATTAAAATATTATATTTACTTTAAAAATGATTTCATTTCTGTCTTGGAGTGGAAAAATATCATGATAGCATTTTTTTGGAGTTAATTTCCGAACATGAAGATTTTGGACAGGTTAAAATGGCCTGTGGCGTTACCATCCTACCGTTTCACGGTAGTGCATTACCGTTGCACGGCAGTGCATTACCGTCGCACGGTAGTGCATTACCGATACTGCGTGCTGCATTCGAATCAGGAACAGTACTTCGTCTTCAACCTCGGTTCAAGCTTCGTGAATATCATTTTGAGCTACCAAACTTCAATTAAACTATATAGAAATGTTCTCCCAGGTTCATAGATCATTTTGGTGTCATTAATTCATAGTTTTAACATCAAATTCAAGGTTTATGATTCTTAGTTTTTCAAACATGTCAAACACAAAACTCAACCAAATGACCATTTATGAACGTAGAAACGATCTATATGAACATTCTAGTCATTAGATATATCAACGGGCTTACCTCGAAGTTAAACGATGATTCCGGCGATTTAACGGCGAAACTTCCGGCGAACACCACGACTTGCTCCGGCGACTTCTCACCAAATTGACAGCATCATTGGAATCTCCATACTTAGAGGAACATGTTAGGAAGAAGAATTTCATGAATTGGTGGAGAAATGAAGGAGAAGAGGGATGCTTTATATAGTGAAGAAACTAGAGAAGATGACAATGTGGGTTGCTGTTTGTGATCCTTCGTTCGGCGTAGTGGGATTGGCTGCGATATGTTCTGATTTCCTACGCCACTCCCTGATTGGGACCAATTTTGGTTCCAATCGGGGTACACTTTTTGGTTCAACTTTCTCCGAATTGAAATCCGTTTGCACCGTTGCGATCGTGAAATTAAACTCTATCCAACGATATAATTTTTACATTTATTCGTTATACTTTTTTCCAAAATCATATTTTTGGGGGTTTGACTTTGACAGAGTCAAAATTGATTCAATTGACCTTTATTCAAAAAGGTTCTCATAATTAATTCATATCATTTATTCCCATGATTTATTTTAGTAAATCTTTTCAATATTTACATCACAAGTCAATTTCTTAATTTATTCTTGATTTGGGTCTGTACTCAGGTTCCCAATCAAGACCACATAAATAGTCAACATATTGGGTTTATCTCTATGAGATTTATCCTGCTTGTGATATTAGATATCAAAACACATTTTATTTCGGCCCAAAGCCCAACAATAATTTATTTTAATCAAAACAAATTTTGTTTAATTGAATATTTAATTCAAGAAATTTTAGGGTATATTTTGGGGCGTTACACACAATTTGCATCCATAACCATTTTTTGTTACATTGTTCTTGCATTGTTGCTATCAAAGTAGGGGAGTAATAAATAACCAAGAATATGACTTATTTACATAGTATTGAGGTATATGTCAAAATAAGCCATTTCTATATTTTTTTCAAGATTTTTATTTAATAATTATTGCATTGATAACATTTGATATCATGTCATAAATATGTAGTTTTGATATCAAATTCAAAAAAGTAATTCGCAAATATAATTAGTCTCCACAATTATGGAGTAAGAAGTAAGGAGGAAAAATTAATATCGAAAAAAATTAATATTAAATATATATTTCTTTGATATTCTAGAAAATGCCAATTAAGTTTTTTTTACATATATTAACATATACTCCGTTAGTAAATTAAATTGTAAGATAAAAATATAGTGGTTAGGAAATGAATTTAATTAAGCATTAAGTTAGGATAGACTAAGACTCGTGTAAAAAAGACTAAGGCCCCTTTCCGTTCAACTTATTTTTTCTGCTTTTTTCTTAATCTTATTAAAATCAGATCAGAACCAATCAGATCAGATCAGATCCAATCAGATCAGATCAGATCCAATCAGATCAGATCTAATCAGATCAGATCAGATCCAATCAGATCAGACCAGATCAGATCAGATCCAAATAAGAATTATTATTATTATTATTGTTATTATTATTATTATTATTATTATTATTATTATTACTACTACTACTACTACTACTACTACTACTACTATTATCATTATCAATATCTTTATTACTCCTTACTTTTTAAATTCCATATTTTTTAGTTGTTTCACTTGATACGGTTCTTTTAAAAATAAATTTAATTCTATTTAAAAAATATAAGAAGAAAGAACATGAAACTTTTTGTATGATTATAATTTATGTAGACTAAAATAAATGATATGAAGCACAATTGTTTTCTTAAAAATGAAAAATAATAAACTTTAGAAACAAGCTAAATAGAAACCCGAGAAAGTAATCTTTTTTTTGAAAACAAAGAAATCACTTCACTCAACCAAAAAAGGCCGTACAAAATCAGGTGGAGTCACAAACCAAACCCCAGCCTCCATCACATTGCTTAACATTGATAATATAAGGATGTGATCTTTTAATAAAAATATTAATGATTATTAATAACATTGATTATCTATATTAAATAACATTTTAGTGCATATATAAATTAAATAATTATTCTAATGTTTATATAAACTAATTATTAAACTATTAAATCAATATTATTCATTAAAAAAATCATAAAATAAAAAATATTATTACATTATAATATGAATGATTATTCTAATATATGAGTTAATTAATTTTGTTTCATTAAAAAATAATCATAAAAAAATATTGATTATATTATAATATGAATTATCATTACAATTTTCAATCAAATCAGAACCAATCAGATTAGATCAGATCAGAACCAACCAGATCAGATCAGATCCAATCAGATCAGATCAGATCTAATCAGATCAGATCAGATCAGATTTAATCAGATCAGATCAGATCCAATCAGATCAGATCAGATCATAACTTATTAAAATCAGATCAGATCAGAAAAAATAAGTTGAACGGAACGGAGCCTAAGGCTCATATAAAGATAGATTAAGGCTATGTTCACCCAGGTAATTTCTATTACTTATTATTTATTTTTATTAGAATCGGATCAGATCAAATCAGAAAAAACTTTAAACATCACTACAATCGGATTCGATGAGAATTTATTCCAATAAGATTATAACCAATCAAACCAGATAAAGAGAACATGCCCTAAACTACATCTGTCACGATTTTGTATTTAATTGTTTTGAAAGAATTATGATCTTGTATTTAGTTATTGGCAAAATAAATTTATACTTCTTACTATAAAAAAATGAGTCTAATTTTATGAATGTGTACTTCATAACTAAGCGTGATAGCATATACTGAGAGTTGAATCTCAAAACACAAATTACAGATTTTCTACTTTTATAAAAAATAATTTCAAACCTTTTTTTAGTTTGTTTGTACATCCTTTGAATTTTATTTTAAGATTATTATTATTATTATTATTATTATTATTATTATTATTATTATGTTATTATGATGATAATGATGATTACTTTTATTCTGATTATGCTTATTATTATTATTATTATTATTATTATTTCTACTATTATTATTATTATTATTATTATTATTATTATTATTATTATTATTATTATTATTATTATACAGAGTTCCAAACTCAAGCTTACATTTTTTAACCATGTCATGAATACTTAGTTCCAAACCTAAACAAAATTTTAATTATTTAAAAATCAACTTTATGACATTCTTAGAGCTAGAAGAATTATTTTTTTTCGCAAATGACGCAATACTTTTTTTCGGGTGGAGCAAATCTTTTCCATTCTTATAGTTCCACATAACCTTTGCAAATGACGCTACAATGGTTCCACATGAATTCTAAACCCTTTGTTGAGAAATCTTTTTATTATACTGTTATGCTTCCACATGAATTTTAAACCCACTGAGATATTTTTTTATTTTGCTATTATGCTTGGATATATGACATGAAAGAATATATATGGAAAGTATTATAAATCATTTGGTCATTGCAAAAGGATAGGGAATAAAATATTATTGAGATCTAAAGTGCATTTTACATTCTGCGGTCAAGTAGTCAACTTTATACAATTACTATCAATGTGCAATAAAATTCATTACATTGTTGCTTTTTTCATTGTGTTGCCAACTACAAAGTTTCTTCTTAGGGTAGAAGCACAAAATTTCCCTTCTAAAAAAGCATCCATGGAACACATGACTGTAAGGATAATAATTGTTGATGTCATCACATTTTAACCAATAATTTTTGTCCAGAACACTAATTTGTTTTGATTTTAGAAATCATTCAAGGCTAATACTCTCATTGTTCTTGTGCAATCAGGAAAAAAGAGTTCTTTAAATCACCCAAGTCTCATAGTTCAGTTCAAATAAAAGTTACATTTATAAGCTCGTATCAACATATATACAAATTAAAGAGAATAAACAGAATGAGTATGAAATGAACACCACAAAAAGAGACCACAACAAATGGAATTTCAAGTCACAAATTCATCCATAAAGACAATATGCATGAAGAATTTTACCAAATCTCACTTCATATAAAAACCATACCCTAGTATGCAGCAACCCCTATGGTTTAGAAAAATACATGTTTTGACTTTTTTGATTTTCTTAGCCATGTGAAATACAACCCTCATGATAATATCATTGTTTAACATAGCTTCCATATCGTTCTAACTCTTGTAAGATAAACAAAAGATTGCTTCACATATACACCAATCTAAACCAAGGTTAAAGATGAGCGCAATTTTTTTAAACTTTTATTCAATTAATATAAAATAAGGTGGCTTCAATCTTCCAAGTCTATAAATGATAAGAACAAAATAAAGAAGAGTCAATGGAGCAATTAAGCCAACAAATTGGCCCTGAAGATCTCATTATCCCTACTGGCCCTAAGATGAATATTAAGTTTAGTCAATTAATTTACCTGTTAATCCACAAATTTTTCCCATTTTGTAAATTTTAATGCTTATGCAACAAAAAAAAAAAATACTTTTTGAAAGTCTACATCACCATTTAAGTTCACTGAAATAGAAAACATGATTAAAATTGCACAGTTTGCTAATCACATATATTTATAGTGGGTAGTTAAAAATTGATTTTCTCCTCAAAATATGAAGTTCTAAATTTTGAAAAGAAGAGTTAAAATTATGACTACCTTCGTATAATTTCTATTTTCAACTCAAACACATAGTTGAATCACAACGCAAATCAATTGATTAATGGGTGCAAGATGGCTGAAAGCTTCATATACCTGAAAAAAAGTGCTACCATAATAAAAAAATTCTTATCATTTGCTTTATCACATGGTTAAAAAGGCATAAAACTGCAGTTACAACCTTGTGCAAATTTTCAAGGCTAAATCCTTCAGGGTAATCCAATATACCTGAAATAATTGAGAAAATAATTAAGAAGCAAATACAATGAACAATCCACATGAAATAATAGACCAGCATTCATACCCATTATGTAAGAAGAAAGAGGAATCAACTCATGGGAATACTTGGAGGCGAGAAGTGCCATGGCTTCCAACCCAGTGCTCACTTCATGACTAATGCCAGAGCCCACATGAGTGACAAGTGCTCCTAAAAGCTTCAGAGTGAATATTATTGACGAAGTTGATGAGTGCAGTCCACAGGATGTTCTTTTTCATAAGATATTAAAATGATAAAAAAATCATGTGGATGAACTTACTTCCTGTCTTGAATAGCTGCTATCCGCAAATTCTTCAAATAAGCATTTATACATATGAATGCCAAACTCATGTGCTTTTTGTTCTTTACACCCCAATAAGTACCCAGAAATGGAGATAAATGTGGGAAGATAATCCTAATATATCACAAGAATAAAATCTGCATCACATAAAAGCATTTCCTGTTTCAGCCGGTTGGTGCTGCGGGTTGGTTTCGGCCGGTTGCTACTGCAGGTTGAAGAACTACAATTTGTCGCCTGAAATTGATGAAGGTGGGAATAAACAACAATTTATACAATCAATAGATATGAAGAGGCAAAAAAACAGAGGCCCGAACTCTAAAGCAGTAGATAAGAAGATCCAACTTTGAATTGGCATTGATTGATAAACGAAGAACTACAATTTGTTGCCTGATATCAACAGAGGTTGGAATAAACAACAATTTATACAAACAATCAATACCTCAACCACATTAAGCACTAATTAATAGCATAATTTAGAGATGAAGAAGCGAAAAAATAGAGACCCAATTCTTAAAGCAGGAAATAAAAAGATCCAATTTTGAAATGGCACAGATTTTTCTGGAATCGGCTGAAGAAGGGGATTATCGGTTAAAGAAAGAGAAAATCAATTTCGAACGAAGAAGCAATCCATTTGGGGAAAAAGAAATCAGATACTTACCTTTGGGGAAGAAGAGGGGCGTAATTGATGAAGAATTGGGGAAATCGACATGCCGAAAATCTCGAAATTGAATAGAAATTGCTTAAGAATTTTGGAAACAAACCTAGATCTTGAATTGTTCAAAAATTCAGAAAAAGGTTTGGGCGAGACTTTCGTTCGCTGTAGAACTCAATTCCTTTGATGAAGAGTAGATACGGAACAGTTTTCCAGCCAGGGAAGAAGATTTGGGCGAAAATCCTCCCTTTCCTTCCTTGAAAAGCTGCATCGCAAAGAAGATTTCCCAAGAAAAATGGATACATATAGCATGGCTCATATATATATATATATATATATATATATATATATATATATATATATATATATATATATATATATATATATATATATATATATATATATATATATATATATATATATATATATATATATATATATATATATATATATATATATATATATATATATATATATATATATAAACTTCTAATACGGCATTCAATTTTTCAACAATAACAAAATCAATAGGTGAAATAATTATACGAAGTTCATCCCCAAAAAATTCAGCAAGTTCCTCTTTGTAGCTAAGAATCTGTGCTATCAACTTATAAGTACTATTCCATCTAATGTTGATATCTTTGGCAAATGTTATTTCTCTTCTACCCTTAGACTTACAGAATGTCTTCCAGGACCTCGAAATAAGACGACTACCCCAAATTTTTCTAATTCCTTCTTTAATATTCGTCAAACCCCCCCATAGTTTCTAGTCCGTGTTGAACACATAAATTTAAAACATGACAGGCACACCGTTGATGCAGAAATCTACCCATAGTCGTAGTAGAGGGCAAATTTCTCTAAGTCTAGGAATAGCAGCAGTATTATTAGTAGCATTATCAAAACCAAATGCAAACACTTTATCAACTAAGT